CTTACTCCTCTGTGCTGTTTTCCACTGGCTGATCGGTTGATCCGTTCGAGGCCAACTGTGCCTTTGTAGACGTGGTTGCTTCTTTTGGAAATGTTTCTTCTGTCGAACTGGGTTACAGAAACAAGAGCACAATCAGCACACAGCTGCAGAGAGCAGATTCCTCATTCCAAAAAAAAAGGGTGAAAAATATGAGTATCGAGAGTGTTGCTGTCATGTTGAAACTGACCAACTTTCTTGGTAAAGCTCTGCTTCTTAACACGGTCAGCAGTGGCTGGGTGGGGTATCCACGTGTCCTGAGGAGGTATGTGGCCTCTTTAGGAGCAGGAGCTGGAGCTATGCAGATGGACATCAGGACCCAGCTCTGCTCTCCAGAGGTGGATAACTCTGGTCAGCTCACTTAAATCTCTTTACTTTCCTCATTCCTCAAAACTGCCCGATGGGATTGCTATGAGGATTAATTGAAATGGTGTGTGCAGTATCATGGAGCGATTTGCCTGATAAATGGAAATTATTACATAAGTGGCTGGCAGGCTGCCTGCTTTTGTGGAGTTGTGTTTCTGTTCTAGCTTGCTTGTTCACAGGCAAGGAGACTGGGAGTGAGTGAATGGATGAGAAGGAAAGCCACCAAACCAGGAGTGGAAGTCTGGGCTCAGAGGACCGGGTCAGGGCTCTTCCTGGGAAACCTGGACATATTGTTAGCAGAGATGCATGCAGTAGGTTCTTGTCTTCATGCAAGAAAGAATTCAGATGTGAGAGAGGAATGGTCAGCAAGGTAGCAAGGTTGAAAGGGTGGGATATCCGTCAGAGCGGATGGGCATCTCTGCAGACAGAACCTGAGAGAGAGTGCCCAGTCACTCAGGGGAAAGCAAGGCTATGTAGTTTAATTGAGAGGACACACTTGACAGGGCAGGTGGGGTGGGGGTGGGGGTGGGCTCATGAAAGAGCTGAGCTGAGTGCCCAGTCTGTATTCAGACTGGGGTTTTTAAGGGAGCTGGACCCAGTTCTTTCAGCCATTTCTCCTCCCCCTCCTTCATCTCCTGCACAGAGGGTCTGCTGGGTGTGAAATAGGTAAAATACTTCCCAGGGTTTTACTACTCAGTGTTATCAGGCTGGGACCACCTCTAAAGTTACTGGATTCTGGGCAGGACTCTGCAGTGTAAAATACTGGACTACTTCCAAGCTTCAGCAGATGTTTTATTTGCCTTAGGTCCTTCTCACACACATAGGCTAATTTATAACTTCCTACCTAACAATGTGGTCACCTTCCCAGGCCTAAGGCATGGTGAGGCTGAGAGGCCTGTAGGACACAGCTGGCTACTACCTACTGCAGGAGGGACAACAAGAAGAAGTAGATGGGGCAGGCCATCTCTACACCCCATCCATGAGGCAGACAACTTTTGTGATATGCTAGTGAAGAAATAATAACTTAGTCTTTGAAAGATACTACAAATGGAGGGTAGGCCCTTGATGCAGTGGTTACGATGCTGCTGAAGATGCCTGAATCCCATGGCAGAATGGCTGGGTTTGAGTCCTGGCTCTGCTTCTGATCCAGCTTCCTGGGAGGCAGCAGGTGATAGCTCAAGGACTTGGGTCCCTGCCATCCTTGTGGGAGACCTGGATTGAGTTTCTGGCTCCCGGCTTCCACCTGCCTTAGTTGTTTTGCACATTTGGGGAGTGAACCAACAGATGGGAGATCTCTGTTTGTATCAGGAAAGAAGAGGCGGAGTATAAAGCCACAGCCAGAGCAGGTTTAGAATAAAGCCAGGGAGGGGCTCACTCCTAGTGAACGCACGGCAGAGAGTTGCCAGCGAATACACAGCAGAGAGAGGGCCCCTTCCCTTACAGACTAGCGGTTAATACAGTACAAGGTGGGGGGAAGGGGCTGGGGGTCGGAGCTAAAGCTGGACTGCTGAGATAGAGGGAGAGCCGGGGCTAGTTCTAACAGTCCTGCGAGATCACTGTGCGGGCTGGGAGGGGGTTGGGCTGAGGCTGAGGCTGGACTCTGGGGCCAAGCTGCTGAGCTGGATGGGGGGAGAGAGCCTGGGAGGAGCGGGGCGAGCTCAGGCCGATGGCCGGACTCTTCAGATAGTGGAGTGTCCAGCAGTCCACGCAGGGCGGGGCTGGTCAAGGTGGGGTGGGGCTGTATTAGCAGGGCAGAGAAATGGGGGCCTGCTTGCTGTGTGTAGGTGAGAGGTCAGTATGGGTCTAAGGCTTTTTGTCTTTGCTCCATCAGTCTGTCTCTATTTCTTTTTCTCTGGTTTTCAGATAAAAAAAAAAAAATTTTGAAAAGAAAGATACTAAGAATAGAAGAAGTCTTCTTATCCCCCACCATGCTGTAATTTGGCAAAGGGCCTCCCCCTATTGGGCCCAGGTTTTTTTTAGATAAAAATAGCTATCCTGTGCCAAGATAGCATCCAGCCTGCAGGGCAGAGCGAGCGCCCCAACATGGGGTTATAAGTAGGCTTTTCCTTGTGAGCCAGGCTACGAGAATCATGCTGCTGTGTTGATGTCTCTTTGTTATTCTCCAGTTCTGTGATACCTGAACTTGTAGGAATTTAAGGATAACTGGCATTATTTTTAGATACCTATTCCCAGGTCACAGCTAGGAACTTTTAAACCCAATCCCTGGGATTCTGTGTGTTTCAACCACTGTCCAGGGCAGTTTGGATAACCTTCTGAAGGGTTAGGAAACATTGCCCCACTGCCTCTAGAAAAGTCATTTAAACTTTCCAGTGTTGATTTAGCTGTGCGATGGATGGTAAAGATGCCTTTTTCATCTCATGCTTGTGCCTCAGATATGAAAGGAAGAAGGAGAGGGCTTGAATGCAGCTGAGGTCATCAGAGCTTCTCCAGAGAAGGGTGAGTCTCCAGGAGATGGGTGGCCTCTCTGTTTCTGTGCCCTGTGGTCACTTGGGAACTCCTTTTTGGTGTCAGCCTCAGAGGAGCTGATCCTTATTTATTATAAAAGCGGCGAATCTGTGCCTCTGTACTTCATATACCTTTTGTTCACTCTTTTTCCTTTCCCCATCAAGCTTCCAGAAAGAACTGTTTATACTCCCTGCCTCCATTTCCCAATCCTCCTTCACTCCCGACTCGGGAATGAAGGCCCACCCGTGTGATTGGGCACATGAGTGAACCACTGGTCTCCCTTCCCCACTGTGACTTCTGAAATGAGGTAATGCCAGAAAAGCATCGAACAGTCTCTAGCGTGAAGTAAACAGCACATCGCAGCCCTTTCAATTCCTCTTCCTATTTTTGGCCCCAGTATCTACATGAACTTTCTCTCTTTTAAAAAGTAAAATGTTTGTTTTCATTTTCTTTGAAAGAGAGACAGAAAGAGAAAGAGATCTTACATTTGCAGTGGCTGGTTCTGGGCCAGGCCAGAGCCAGGAACCCGGAACTCCATCGTGAACCCCCACCTGTGTTCAGGGGCCAAGCACATAGGCTGTTTCCCTATGCCTTCCCAGGTGCATTAGCAGGGAACCGGATTGGAAGTGGAGCAGTTTGGTCTCAAATCAGTGCTCATGTGCACAAGTGGTAGCTTAACACACTGTGCCACAATTGCAGACCCTGAACTTTCTTTTTCTAAAATTATTAGCCAAATTGGAAGGTTCTCTACTCATTTCTCAGGGTTCAGTTTACTTTTATTTAAAAAAAATTTTAGCAAATACATAAAAATTTTACAGATATTTATGGGATACCCTCTACTATTTCAACACATGTGCTCACCATGTAATGTTCCAGCCAGGATAAACATACCTGTCTCCTCAAGCATGTATCATTACTTTGTGGTGAAAATGTTACCATTGAAATGGTGGCAGAGAAAGATGACCTCAGTTCTTTGTCTCACATGAAAGAATTTCTACGTGGACAAGGCAGAGAGAGAAGCAAGATTTATTTAAGTCAGAAATCTCCTGCTGCAGTGGCCGGGAGGGGGTCTCCAAGAGAGGCAGACCACCTGAACTGTGAGAGTCTGAGTCTTTAAAGCACACTTTTGGGGGAAGAAAAACCAGACCAGCAGCTACCAATCAGTTAGAAGGCAGGGACAAAACCCGTCAGAAGGCCAAAGTTGTAGTCTTGTTTTCTCTGTATAGCTTGCTCATGCTTTATCATGATGAAACAAAAGAGCCATCAGAAGCAAGTTATTTCTATTCTCATGATAAAACTAGAAACTCAGGGGCCAGCACACCATGGCACAATAGGTTAATCTTCCACCTGCAGTGCCAGCATCCCATAAGGGCGCTGGTTCTAGTCCTGGCTGCCCCTCTTCCAGTCCAGCTCTCTGCTATGGCCTGGGAAAGCAGTAGAAGATGGCCCAAGTGCTTAGGCCCCTGCACCTGCATGGGAGACTGGAAAGATGCACCTGGCTCCTGGCTTCAGATTGGCACAGCTCCGGCCGTTGTGGCCATCTGGGAAGTGAACCAACAGAAGGAAGACACTTCTCTCTGTCTCTCCCTCTCACTGTCTGTAACTCTACCTTTCACAGAGAAGCACAGAGAGAGAGAGAGAGAGAGAGAGAGAGATCTTGCATCTGCTGGTTCACTCCCCAAATGGCTGCAACGGGTGGAGCTGGGCCGATCTGAAGCTAGGAGCCAGGAGCTTCTTACAGGTCTCCCACACAGGTGCAGGAGCCCAAGAACTTGGTCATCCTCTACTGCTTTCCCAAGCCATAGTAACAGCTGGATCATAAGTGGAACAGCCAGATCTTGAACCAGAGTCCATATGGGATGCTGGCACTGCAGGCGGCAGCCCCATCAGTTCCCTTTTAACACTGTTTTTGCTATATCCATAGGTTTTAGTATGTTGTATTGTCATCTTCATTCGTTTCCAGGAATTTTTTTATTTCCCTTTTGATTTCTTCTGTGACTCATTGTTCATTCAGGAGCATGTTGTTCAGTCTCCATGTGTTGGTATATTTTCTAGATTCTTGAGTTTTTTCCAGCTTCTTTTCATTGTGGTCAGAAAAGATACATGGTATGATTTAAATTTTTTTTAATTGCACCTAGCATATGGTCTATCCTAGAGAAATTCCATGCACTGATAAAAACAATGTGTATTCTGCAACCGTGGTATGAAAGGTTCTATAGATATCAGTTCCAAATGGTACATAGTGTAGATTAGCTCTGTTGTTTCTTTGTTGATTTTCTGTGTAGTTAATCTGTCCATTGATGAAAGTAGGGTGTTTGAAGTTCCCCAGTAATATTTTTTTAAAAAAAATATTTTATTTTTATTTGAAAGAGTTACACAGAGAAAGGAGAGGCAGAGAGAGAGAGAGAGAGGTCTTCCATCCACTGGTGTACTCCCCAGATGGCTGCAAGGGCTGGAACAGTGCCGATCTGAAGCCAGGAGCCAGGAGCTTCTTCTAGGTCTTCCACATGGGTGCAGGGGTCGAAGGACTTGGTCCATCTTCTGCTGCTTTCCCAGGCCATAGCAGAGAGCTGGATCAGAAGTGGAGCAGCTGGGACTCGAACCGGCACCCATCTGGGATACTGGCACTGAAAGTGGGGGCTTTACCTGCTACACCACAGCGCCAGCCCCAGCCCATTACTATCATATTGGAGTCTATATCTACCTTTAGATCCATTAACATTTCTTTTAAATAGCCAGGCACCCTGGCATTAGGTATATACATTTATTAAAGTGACATCTTCCTGTTGAATCCATCCCTTAATCATTATATAGTGCCCATCTCAGTCTCTTTTAAGTTTTTGTGTTAAAGTCTATTTTGTCTGATATTAAGATGGCTACACCTGCTTATTTTTGCTTTCTGTTAGTGTGAAATATCTTTTTCCATCCTTTAACTTTCAGTCTTTGTGTATCTTTGTTGATGAGGTGTGTTTCTTGTAGGCAGCAAGTTGATGGGTCTTATTTTTTAATCCATTCAGCTGGTCTGTGTCTTTTAATTGGAGAATTTAGGCCATTTACATTCAAGGTTATTATTGATAACTAATAACTTGGGCCTGCCATTTTTCGGTAAATAGTCCTATTTTTTGCTTTGGATTTCCTTTGTACTTTTACTGGGATATTTTCTGCCTTCACATTCTTTCATAATGATAACTGTCTTTCTATGTTTCTGTGTGTAGCACATCCTTAAGCATCCTTTGTAAGGCTGAACAAGTGACAAATTCTTTCGGTTTCCACTACACCACAGCGCTGGCCCTGACAGTGTTTTTCTTTTAAGACCTGGACTATATCTCTCCATTCTCTCCTAGGCTGTAGGGTTTATGATGAGAAATCAGCTTTGAGTCTAATTGGAGATCCTCTGAACATAATCTGGCATTTCTCTCTGCATATTTTAGAATAGTTTCTTTATTTTTTACCATTGAAAATTTGACTATAATGTGTCACGGTGAAGATCTTTTGTGGTCATGTGTACTGAGTTCTGTTTGCTTCCTGTACTTGAATGTCCCTTTCTTTCTCCAAATTAGGGAAGTTTTTTGTAATTATTTCACTGAATAGGCCTTTTAATCCATTCTCTTTCCACACTGTCAGGAACTCCTAAGAACCATATGTTAGGTCATCTGATAGTATCACATAGATCTTGAACATTTAAAAAATGTTTTCTAATTTATTCTCTTTTTTGGGTCTGAATTAAAATTTTCTGAAGATTTGTCTTCTAGAACAGATATTATTTCTTCTGTCTCACCAAATTTGTTGCGTTTTCTACCACTTTTTAAATTTGCTCTATTGAATTCTTCATTTTTTTTTTTTTTTTTTTGACAGGCAGAGTGGACAGTGAGAGAGAGAGACAGAGAGAAAGGTCTTCCTTTTGCCGTTGGTTCACCCTCCAATGGCCGCTGCGGCTGGCACGCTGCGGCCGGCGCACCGTGCTGATCCAGTGGCAGGAGCCAGGTACTTCTCCTGGTCTCCCATGGGGTGCAGGGCCCAAGTACTTGGGCCATCATCCACTGCACTCCCTGGCCACAGCAGAGAGCTGGCCTGGAAGAGGGGCAACTGGGACAGAATCCGGCGCCCCGACCAGGACTAGAATCCGGTGTGCCGGCGCCTCAAGATGGAGGATTAGCCTAGTGAGCTGCGGCGCCGGCCCGAATTCTTCATTTCTAATATTTCAGTTTGATTTCTCTTCATAATGTCAATTTCTTGGGAAATTTTTTTTTCCATGTCATGTATGGATTTCTTTAACTCATGAATTTGCTTCTCATTGCTTCTAAGTAATCCTATTATCAATCTCTTGAATATTTATTCAGGCATTTCATCAATCTCTTCATCTTCACATTGTTGTGTTCTTTTGGGGGAAGTTATATTGTCTTTCTTATTCTTGTTTCTTGAATTTCTGTTTATTTTTAGGCATTTGTGGAAGTACTTGTTGGTTTCCTCCCCTGATGGATTTTATCTTTGAACTATGCCTCTGAGGCTTAGTGGAGTGCCTGCTCTCAGTGAATCCCCAGAGACATGTGCTAGGCATGGCCAGTGCTCCAGTGTCTGCCAGTATCTGGGGTGACATCCAAGTGGGTGTGGTAGAGCTCCTCTGTGCTTGGCAGAGGGTAGGGTATGATCACCTCTGTTTGTGTAATCATACCCTGATCTCTCTTCCAAGATGATGGATGCCTGTGGTTAGCCTGCAGTGGGTGCAGCACTCACCCATGCTACTACATAAACTGCATAAGGATCTGCGCAGTCATTTGTGTGAGCAGAGATCCTGCTGCAATGACCAACCCTAGGCAACCAGGGAGTTCTGAGCCTCTGTCATGGGACACAGTGATTGCCCAGAGACCAGCTTGTGCAGTCACAGGGTTCCCACAGTCACAGTGCCCAAGGCTCCCACAGTGATGGGGTGCAGAGGATCCACTCCTCCCCACTAGCCTGTCATGTGCACGGAGAGAGCAGAGACCTTCCCAGAGCCAGCTGCCTGTGGGTGCTCTGCCTTGGTGGTTTGAGCTCCATAGTCCGTGATATGTTGAGAGGCTCAGGGCACCTCACAGTCCTACGTGGGTGCCCAGTGTTCTGTCAGACCTCTCAGCCAGACTCAAAGTCAGTGGGGAATGAGGATTTTTCCCTCTTTTAAAATCCCCAGATCACATGTGTGCACAAGAGCCACTGCTGCTACTGGCTTCAAAATGGTGCCCTTACGCAGGGATCAGGAGAAAGAAACATGCCTTTCTTTTTTTTTTTTTTTTTAATCACTGGGTTAGGTGGGTACCTTGATTCCCTTTAGGGCTCCAGGCCAGACTCAGGCAGTGTGGTCTTCAAGGCTCTCCCTCCAGCAGCGTCATGGGCTGCTGCAGTCTACTCTTCACCTCTCTCCAAAGCTGCTGTATCCTCCAGCTCTTGGCTGTGGCGATCATGTGTTGTGTCTTAACTCATTGCTGTGCATCCCTCTTCCTTCTGTAGAATTTCCACTGCAGATTTCTCTCCAACTCTCCCCTGGGAATGCACCTCCTCCACTTTTTTTCTATTTTCCCATCGCCTAAAGCAGTACATCTTTTCCCTTCTCAGCTATCCTGGAATACCTGTTATATTTGTTTAAGACTGTAAAGTTTTAAACTTTTTTTTCTAGGAAACTTCTACAGGTCATCACATTTCTCTGCCTTAAAAACTTTATTTTGTTTATTTGAAAGGCAGAGTGATCAGGGGTGGGGGATATCTTCTGTTGGTTCACTCCCCGAATGGCTGCAATGGCCAGGGCTGGGCTGGGCCAAAGCCAGGAGCCTAGAGCTCCATCTGAGTCCCATGTGGGTTACTGGGACCCATGTATTTGGGCTACCATCACTGCATTAGCAGGGAGCTGGATGGGAGGTGGAACAGCACACTCTGATATGGGCTCACAAATGGAGCTTACCCCACCTTACATCACAACGCAGTCCCCCTTTTCCTACCTTTAAAACTGAGATGTAGGGGCTAGTGTTGTGGCTCAGTGGGTTTAGCCACCTGTTACAATGCTGGTATTCTATATTATGGTGCCAGTTGATACCCTGTTATTATTATTATTATTATTATTATTTTTTTTTTTTTGCCGGCAGAGTTAGAGAGAGAGAGACAGAGACAAAGGTCTTCCTTTTCCGTTGGTTCACCCCCAAAATGGCCGCTACGGCTGGCATGCTGTAGCTGGTGCGCTGTGCCAATCCGAAGCCGGGAGCCAGGTGCTTCTTCCTGGTCTCCCATGTGGGTGCAGGGCCCAAGGACCTGGGCCATCCTCTACTGCCTTCCCAGGCCACAGCAGAGAGTTGGACTGGAAGAGGAGCAACTGGGACAGAATCCGGTGCCCCAACCGGGACTAGAACTCGGGGTGCCAGCACAGCAGGTGGAGGATTAGCCTAGTGAGCCACGGTGCCGGTCTATACCCTGGCATTTCTTGAGAGACTGGGTTCTTGAGGGAGTGAGTAAAATCTTCTGGAAATGGATTAGACAACTCAAGAATGGGTTGTTATAAAGCAGGTCTTCTCTCCAGCCCCCAGTCTTCCACCCATCATGGCACCCTCCCCAAATGGCTGCTGCAGCTGGGGCTGGGCCAGTCTGAAGCCGGGATCCAGAAGTCCATCTGGAGCCTCCACATTGATATCAGGAACTTGCACACTTGGGCCAGCACCTGCTACTTCCCAGATGCATTAGCAGGAATCTGCATCCAAAGCAGAGCAGCAGAGACTTGAACCAGGCATAGTGTGATGCCAGTGTCCCAAGCAGTGGCTTAGTCTCCCATACAATGTCTTCCCCACATTGTGGGTGTTTTTGATATGGATTACCAGAAACGTATATCCATCAGTATTGGTCTCCAGCAACAAACAAAATGGTCTATACCAATAGCCACTGCCTGCTGGTCATTATATTTTAAATTTCTGCCAAGTTAATGGATTTGAAAATGTTGTATCAATATTTTGCTTGGATTTGTTTAATTATCAATGAGAATGAGATTTTCTTCTCATGCTGTTGATCAGTTGTTTCTTTTTTTATCAGTTGTTTGTTTTTTATACTCACCTGTTTTTCTGTTTTGATGCTTGTCATTCATTTGGAGGAGTTTGTAATATAGTTATATACATTTCCTATATTTGATCCAACTATTTTATTTCATAAATTCATCTTTTTCCTTTTTTGTATACATTACAAAATAGATGCTTAATGGAAAAATATAAGAAAATATAACACTATAAAACAGATACTAGAAATTTCCTATATTCCATCCTTTCAAATGGGAAATTTGGTTTGTTTTCCTAAAAATTTTCCTTCTTCCACATATTCTATCAGTTATATTTATTTTCAAAATTGAAATCATAGTACACATAGTTTTTTAATTTTTTTACTACTATACAGGTCTCAGTGTCAACATATGAAACTTCATCATCTTTTTACTAGATGTACATCCTATTAAATGATGCTCTGTTTTAAAAATTTATTCATTGAAGTTATTTGAAAGAGTGATAGACAGAGAATGAGCACTTCTATCCATTGGCTTACTCCCCCAAACACACACGATGACTGGGGCTGATGCCAGGGACTGGAAATTCAATCCAGGTCTCTCACGTGAATGGGAGGAACCCAATTACTTCAGCCATTACTGCTGCCTCGCAGGGTTTGCATCATCAGGAAAGTGGAATCAGGAGCAGAGCCAGAATTCAAACTTGGGTCCTCCAATATGGGATGTGTGTCCCAAGCTGTGTCTTAACTGCTAAGCCCCGTGATCACTCCAAACATATTTAGTCATATTACTCAGTTTTTTAATGGAGTATTGGTTGATGCTTATCCTCAGAAAGAAGGTTCTTGGTTTTTTGATAATTCTGATGAGGCTGGCATTTGGTGCATTAGTTAAGATACTGCCTGGGACACTTTCATCTCCTACCAGGGTGCTAGGATTTGAGTCCTGGTCTGCTTTTGATTTCAGCTTCCTGCTAATATGCACCCTGGGAGGTAACAGGCAATGGCTGAAGTAACTTGGGTCTTTGCCACACACATGGGAGACTCTGAGCTTCTGATTTCAGCCTGGCCCAGCCTGGGCTGTTGCAGGCATATGAGGAATAAACTAGCAAATGGAAGATCTTTCTCTATCTCTCTCTACCTTTCAAATAAATAAAAATACATAAATATTTTTTAAAATAACCATATAAGAAATAATTCTCTGATAGACTGTTTAGGAAATTTTCTGTCATTTTAAGAGATGTGTTATTCTGTGAAGAGTAAGACTACACATATATGTATAAGCTATAGGGGGAGTGTGATAAACCTTGTGGTGTAACAAAAGTTGGAAAGATATTTTGTTTTGATAAAATATGCTGAAGTGTCTATTTCAAGTGAAATAAGATTCAGGATTCATTATCATTTCAGCTGATCTCGATAGCCAATTTTTAGATATTTGAAATATATCAATAATTGTTTAAATGGAGAACTCTTACTTCCCTAACTTACTGGTTTAGATGCTGGGAATGCAATGATGAGATCTCTCTCTCTCTCTCTCTCTCTCACACACACACAGTCCCAACTCTTCTAGAATTTATAGTCAAGTGGATAAACATTATTCAAATAATTATACAAGTAAATACATATTAGCAAACTGCAGTGTGCATGGTAGAATAGCATCAGGGCTGGAGCCACGGCTCACTAGGCTAATCTTCCGCCTTGCGGCGCCGGCACACCAGGTTCTAGTCCCGGTTGGGGCGCCGGATTCTGTCCCGGTTGCTCCTCTTCCAGGCCAGCTCTCTGCTGTGGCCAGGGAGTGCAGTGGAGGATGGCCCAAGTCCTTGGGCCCTGCACCCGCATGGGAGACCAGGATAAGTACCTGGCTCCTGCCATCAAATCAGCGCGGTGTGCCGGCCGCAGTGCGCTGGCTGCGGCAGCCATTGGAGGTGAACCAACGGCAAAGGAAGACCTTTCTCTCTGTCTCTCTCTCTCACTGTCCACTCTGCCTGTCAAAAAATAAATAAATAAATAAATAAAATAAATATTAAAAAAAAAAAAAAAGAATAGCATCAGAGGACATAACTAAGAGAGATCTCTTCCTGGCCTGAATATGGTGGCGGCTAACCTGAGATGGCTCAGTTGTGCTGTGGTTGGGGGACAGGGTGGGAGATGGCTGGAGAGGAGGAGCTGTTGGTAGGGAAGGAACCATTGGAGGCAGGAGCCCCAAAGCTGAAAGAATACCAGCTCTGAGCAACATGAGGACTATCTCCAGTGCTTGCAGACTGTAAGGATTGTGGGAGAGGAGGAAGGAACTTGTGTCTCCTAAAGTACTTAAATTCAAACAGTTTTCATCATTGAGAAGTGATGAGTTTGTGATTACTGATTCAAAGGGAATATGAAAGTCATGAAATACCCACTAAAGTCCTGAGAATATCCTAAAACTGAGCGTTTGAGGAATTCAAGAATTTAAATGTTGAGAAGAGGTAGAAAAAGAAGCCAGGAGTGTGGTGTTTCTGAAGGCTGGCAGTAGAGGGCCTTCCAAGAAGTGAATGCTGCTGAGAGAGCAAGGAAATTAGAACTGAAAAAATGTCTGTTGGGTTTAGCAATACAGAGGTCAGTAACCTTTACAAAATGCCTATATTGTGCTGATGGTGCATGATCCATTTCCTGCATCTTTGGAATTGTTGGTCTTCTTGACTGGGAGGGGTGTGGGCTGCTTTAGATCCATCCCAAGCTTCTGGAGGTCTGGCCGCATGCCAGCAATACCCACACAGCGATACAAACAACAAGACTACTCTAAGACAAGCACATTTTGACAAGGCATTTATTACCCAACGCTTTGACATCAGAGAGACCTGAGTAGGCTCATGTTAAAAACATATGAAGTATGTCTTTCTTGTGCAATGCTGTACAGGTGAGTATCTGATAAATCTACATCCTCAGAGCCAAAAAGTTCTGTGAGAATACAGTTGCCTTTATTTAAGAAGAAAAGGGTGTGTTTAAGGTACAAAAATCAGGTGCTGAGTACTAGAGAGCTCCTACCCATATCATATCCTTATTTGCAAAGAAATACTCTTAAAAATGTCCCATGGAGCAGAATGAAAGTTTTTCTCCAAACCAAAATAGAACTTTGTAATCACAACTGACATTTTAAAAGATAAATATGAAACACATAATGATTAGTGGGTTCAACAGAATGAATGAAAATGAACAATTTATACAAATCAAGTTCTCTTAAACAGTTGTAAATATTTTTAGTATTTACTTGAATGAATCATTTTAAGGCCCTCACAGTGTTACTCTTCATCAAACATAAAATTCTACATATGTAGGAATTAAGTTTAGAAAAGCACTTAATTATCATAATTGAACATAATTATTTTTCAAATATCAAAACAGTAATACAGTTCTGAGAATATTTATGTAATGATTTTTAAAGCTCTAGTGAGGCTTGCTCTAAATCATAGCAACACTGGTCTTTTACACAACTTAGTTAATATCAGTATAACAAATTATACATGTGATTGATGTACAAGTACATAAACACACATGTAATTGCCTGTTGGAGGATTGTTGAAGTATATTTGCCACAATTCTTTATATATTATACTTTATTTACAAATGAAATTTAATAGATAACATATTTGATGTTAAATGGTTCCGTAAGACTGAATTACATATGCTTATATATGATGTATCTTTTAAAAAAATCTGTAATTTTAAATAACAAATCTCAAAAATATCAAATTAACCTTCCTGAAATTTGCTGACATTTTGTTAGTGCGACATACATAGTTACTTGGTGACTTTTCATTTCCTAAAGAACGGTGTTCAACTCTTTATAATGACATTCAAAACATTCTATACGTTAGCCTCAGACTGATTTCCAAAGCAGGCCACTCTTTTCCCTGAGCAAGCCAGGGCTGTGCTCTTTACCTTCAGTGCCCTTCCTTTCTCTTCACTAAAGGTCACTACAGGTTCAGTTCAACTCCCAGCACCCTTGTGAAACCTCTCCCGAGGTTTCTGGGGGCATGCCTTTGGCCTTCTTATCCTTAATCAGTCACTTTAGTGCTGACATCAGTATCATGTGCAATTTGTACCAAGTAACAGGACTTGTGTCTTCAGTCAAATGGGAAATTTCTTGATTGGTATATTTGGTGCCTAGTGCAATCCTGAGAATTACAAAATTCGACAGAGTATAAAATTATAAGCATATGCTAGAATCATCATAATTACCTCTGACTTATTACAATTTTTCTTTCCATCTGCAGAAACGGCGTAACTAAAGTTTACTGTTGCTTCAGTGTCTCATCCTTCCAAAGCCAACTGATCTTGCTATATAGTGCATGCTCTTCACTGTGCAACTGAAATATATGGAATCTGGAAATTTCTTCAAATCAGAGACTGATTCCCTGTAATCTCATCAAATCTTAGGTAAGTTTCTGTCTTTCTTGGTTTTTCCCTTTTGAAGGAATGTTTTGAATGCTCTTTGCAAATGTTTTGGATTTTTCTTTACAAATGGGGAAAGCTTTAGAAAATCAAAGAGTTTTCCCTTCATTGAGTTTTTCTCCCTTTTCCCGAGGCACAGGGAAAGGGGTGCAGAAGTGGAAGGGCATCAGCTTTTACAGGACCTCCAGGGCCTGGATCTAAGGCACTGAAAGACGGTGGTGGTAACTTCCTCTACCGCATGAGCAGGTTAGCTCTGCTTGGACTGTCGGGCTTGTGTCCAGGTTTACAAATCCAGACCAAATGCATCCCAAAATGAGCATGGTTTTCTTCTAAATAACAGTAGCAACCATTAGGCACCAACTGTGTGTCAGAACATACTGACGGTTGCTTTATATAGGACTTAATTGTCATAATCAAATGTGTCATGACTTCGATTTTACAGAGGAGAAAACTGGGGCTTAGAGACGCTGTGTAAGTTGAACAAGGAAGTGGGAGAGCTAGATCTGGGATGCAGAACTCATTCCAAACCCTGTGTCCTTTTTGGAGCAGCTTGCAGTGTCAGTGTCTTTTCTTGGTAGGAATTCTCACGGGGGAATGTGTGTAATTCTGGAGACCACAGACAAGGACAGAATAAAAAGTTCCAAGGTACCTGGGGAGGCTCACCAGTACTCCTTCCCTGCCACGACTGCCCCAGTCTTACTTAAGAGTGATTCCTCACTGACAACTGACACTGCAGTGTACACTAAGTTTGGCACTGTCCCTTTTGTTACGAGACAGTTGATCACTTACGTCTTGGTTGAGCAGCAGCGCTAAGTTCTTAGCTTTGTCAAGGCCCAGGACAAAAACACCACCATCAGATAAGTTAACACAACACTAAGTAAATGAAGAAAAAAATCTGACTTGACATTCTACCCAGTAAAAAACATTTTTCCTAAAAGACAGAAACCCACCTAAGACTGCAGCCTTGCCCCTTGCCACTGTGCTGCAATATGAATTCCAAGCTTCAGCATCAGTGTTCTCATTTGGAGAACAGCCAACAGAAGGAAATTCTGGTGTGGAGAGAAGTCTGAGAGTGGCTGCACTCTTCTACCAGGGTCTAGTTACACTGTGGTCTCCAGGAAGCAGAGTTTTCATCCCGTGGATACTGTTTTCTAGTCACACTATGTAGGACAGGCCCCTTGATGCTGTGTGTAGGACCATAGGAGAAAAGAGAAGGCTCTCTTCCCTTCCCAGTTTCCTGCACTTGAGAGTCACATGCCATGTCCTTTACTTAGTGGTTAATTGTAACAGCTTAGGGATTGCTCTATAGATTTAACAAGTGTTTTACCTTTAGTTGGGCATAGGTTTATTGTTACAGTATCTGCTACCAACAGCTCTAACTACACGTGTGTATTTATGAGTTAATAACCTTTTACTCCAGTGTCATTTTAATATTAGGGTATTTAAAATGTTTCTCTAAGTTTATTTTTAATAACATTAATTTAGTAGGGAATTGGAGTGCAGATTCATCTAAGACTGCTGTAGAAACACTCTGTACTTGGGATCTGAATTTAGGCTTAGCTGTTGCTTGTTTTTAACCTTGGAGAAAGCACTTTGCCTGTTTCTTTACCTATAGGTGGAAGTTCACAATTTGCATCTCACGGTGTTCTTATGAAAGTGAAGGGGCAGAATTTATAGGAACTATTTCACAAAGGCAAAATTAGGTTACTGGCCGTGCTGCAGCAAGGCAGATGCACACGGAGGTGGGCATCTCAGGTAGGAGGGAGTGGCCAGGGGTGGGTGGGGTTTGGGTTCATTATTACCAGTCAGGGGGACTAAGGGCCGTGAATGGTAGGACTTGAACGTGCTTTCTCCAAAATGACCTTCTCCTGGCTCCCAAACCCAGACGTCCCCATGTTGGGGAGAACTCACCCCGACAACACACCTCAAGGCTGGGAGTTTTGGAGAGGAGCCATTCGGGCATCTTCAGCTCTGCGTCTCCCACAGCCTGCTCACTGGGAAGTGCCCCATGCCTCTGACATCACACAAGAAGCCCAGGGGGGACGTCAGGAAAAAGAGGCAGGTTATCGACTGTTAGCCGTGGGTCATATAGAGCCAATTTAAAAGCTGTTCTCGCCAAAGGAAAAAGCAGTGTTCTTTTTCCTAAGAGAGAATTTCGAATAGAATTGGGTCGCTGGTGCCCTGCCTAAAACGCCAAAGCAGCAGGTGCAGAGCTGGGGTGGGGTCTGACCGTGAACCCGACTGGGGTGTCGCCCCTGCCGGAGGCGCTCGCTCGGCAGGCTCCGCTCTTCTGCTCCTCACAGATGCCGATGAAGTGGTGTGAAGGGTTGGGCTTTTTTTTTTGTTCCCAAAAATGCAACGAACAAAAAAAAAAGTACAACAATCCAAACCCAACCATCGTATCGCGTGTCGGCCGAGCAGGGAGACGTCCGCGTCCTGTGGCCGGCCCTCGCGCTCGCCCTCCCCTGCGGGCCGCCGCGGAGGGCAGCGCCCGGGGCGGGCAGGGCGGTCGTCGACGCCGGAAGGACGCGCGCTGCAGCTCCGCTCCCCCGGGGAGGCGCGGCCGGGAGGCGGGACTAAGGCCCGGCGGCCCGGGAGGCGGGGCCCCGGCTGCGGGCGCAGGAGGACGGCCGCCGCGAGTCCATCTTGCGGCCGTGCCCGGCGCTATCGCGCGGCCCCAGCAGCTGGAGGACGGGCCGCCGTGCGGCGCATCGTTCGCGTCCCCGGAGGTCCGAGATAAGTACCCGCCGCCCGCCTCCTCTCGGGGATGCGGTCACCCTCGAGCCTGCTGCCGGGGTGGCGACCTGCCCAGGCGGGCCGGGACCCGGGGGCGGGGGCGAAGGGCTGGCTCGAGCTCAGCCCGCACTCGAGCCCCGCGAAGCAGGGCGTGGGGAGGGTGGCGTGCGGGTGGGCGCGGGCCGGCCGGGCCTGCCCGTGTGCGCTGCAGTAGAGCTGCTGCTCCCGCGGCGCGCCCGGCACCGCCACCTGTGCCTCAGTACCGCCTAGGAAAGAGAAGGCGATTGTGAGCTGGAGGTGGGAGACCCAGCCGCCCTGCCCGTCCGCACGGCGCCGGGGGAGGGCGCCCTCACCGAGAAGCGGCCGAGTACAAAGAGCCACAGCCTCGCCCGCGCTCTGCACGCTGGCTTTATTTCTGGGGGCGATCCTGTGCAAATACATGCAAAACAAAACAAAGCCCTTTCTCCTCTCCTCTCTTTCCAGTAGCCTCTAGTTTGTCAATCAAATGCAAAGGAGGAAAAAGGGGCGGCCCCGATTGTTTTGCCCTGGGAATTAGTAACCCTGCCGAAAACACCTGCTTGCAGGGAACGAATATAAACAATACCTTTCCTTATGTTATGTCCACATTTAAAAAAAAAACACACCCAATTTCACTAGGCCCTGAAGCTTTTGAAATAGAACGATGTGTAGAACATATATGTTCTCATCCACTTCTTTGGTTTGTTGGTCTTTGTTTTCCTATTTTGTCAAAATTTGGAATCCATCATTGGCAGTTGTTTATATGGTAATTTAAAAATATTGTACCCAGAGATTTATATTGCAAAGGAAGAGAGGCTTTGGCAGCATTTCTTTCCTTTTTTTTTTTTAGCTTCTTCCGTGCGGGTGAATTGTTAGGCAGGTGGGGCTTGTGGAACAGGGCCCTAGTCCTCTGTCTTGTGACTTTCATCTACTGGGCATTTAAAAGCTGCATTTCATTTCACAGGCACTCCTTCTGGTAGAACTTGATGGAGCTGTTGACCAACTGGTCATACTTCTTACACAACCAGAAGATAAGATTTCTTCCCTAGAAGCACCATTGTTTTTGGTCCCTGCTGACTTACAGAAGACTCCCTGGTAAGTCCTTCCATACATAGCACCAGGCTTTTCTCTCTATGGCTATCATCCATTAAGTGGTAAATACCCTTCTCAGAGGGAAACTTGGCAGTTTTTTCAAGAGCCTTAAAAAATGTTCTTACTTTGACTAAGCAATACTCTTAAAATAATTGCCTAAGGAGATAATCAGAGCTGTTGACCAAGACTTTTCTATATCCCTGAAATAAGCAAGTGATAAGAAAGCTTATTCATGGATGGATCTTCATGTTAAAAGGATCATGATGTGGGAAATATATGTGATCAAGTAAATGAAAAAATGGATAAAATTTTGTAGTATGCTACCCGTTTTTAGAAAATATATATCACACAGTCACATGACTGGAAGAAATATACCAGAATAATAATATTGCTTATCCTTTGTTGATGTGATAATGGGTTTCCCTCATATTTTCTATAATCACAGATTTTTATAATTTAAGAAAATACAAAAGCTAATTACATGGATTACCTCTGCAACTTCAGTATAGTTTCAACTTTCTATGTCCTTTTTTTAAAACAAAGTGAAGACAGTTACATGAGATTTAACCCTCTTAATAAAATTTTAAGTGTACAGTAAACTCAACTTAGGATGGGGCTGTGTATCAGTAAATACATCTTAAGTTGAAAATCCCTTAGTTGAAAGTGCCTTTAACACACTTAGCCCAATGAACAGCCTAGCTTAGCCTTGCCCACCTTAACTGTGTTTAGATTGCTCACACTGCTCTACAGCTGGGCAAAATCATCTAATACTAAACCAATTTTTAAATAAAGTTTTGAATGTGTCATATAGTTTATTGACTATAGTGCACTGTGGATTGCAGTACACTGTGGATTGCAGTACTGGTTGTTAGTAATCTATGGCTGATGAGCTGTGCCCAGTAGTTAACCTGCACCACGAGAATGTGTCGTACAACATATTGCTAGCTCAGGAAAGAACAAAATTCAAATTATAGTTTGTACTAAATGAGCATTGATTTTATACTATCAAGTTGAAAAACTGTTGAGTTGAATTTAAGTTGGGGACTGGGTGTTAGGTGTTATCAACAGACCCAATGTATGTATGGTTTCCTCCAATCTATATACTTAAAAAGAAAAAAGATTTATTTATTTATTTGAAAGGCAAGTTAGAGAGGCAGACGCAGAGAGAGAGAGAGAGAGAGAGAGGTTCTCCATACACTGGTTCACTCCCCAGATGGCTGCAGTGGCTGGAGCAGGGCTGATCCAGAGCCAGGAGACAAGAACTTCCTCTGGGTCTCCCACGTGGGTACAGGGGCCCAAGGACTTAGGCCATCTTATACTGCTTTACTAGGCCATAGCAGGGAGCTTGATCAGAAATGGAGCAGCCAGGACTTGAACTGGTGCCCACATGAGAAGCCAGCACTGTAGGCGGTGGCTATTACCTGCTACACCGCAGTGCCGGCCCCTCTAGATACTTTTTATTCAAATTTCTTTAATCTGAATTGTGGATACCAATTAGAGTCCGCCTAGATTTCACAGTAGTTGTACACAAATGGGATAGAATTATTAGGTTTAGGGGGTATCCTAAAACCTTTATTGATTTGATGCTGCAGATGGACATAAATTGTGCTATAGTATCTTGGTTGATGACCAAGTAATGCAGGAAGAAAAGGGAGAGGAGGATAACAAATAAGTTAAATAAGGTACGAGAGAGAGAAGGGTCAGGGATAAGGAAAGAATGGGAGGAAATCAAGGTTGTACCCATTGAAATAGCATCGGAAACATAAGGCAATGACCTAATTTCTGTTTTGGGGACTGTCACCTTAGTCCAAAAAACCTTTGTGAACATTCCAAGTCCTCAAAGCTGCACTAGCTCTATTTGCCCCATTTATCAGGAACCCTCCTAGAAATACGTTGGGAGAAAGTATTTAAGAGTGACTTACTGGCTGGCGCCGCGGCTCAATAGGCTAATCCTTCACCTAGCAGCGCCGGCACACCGGGTTCTAGTCCTGGTCGGGGCGCCGGATTCTGTCCCGGTTGCCCCTCTTCCAGGCCCGCTCTCTGCTGTGGCCCGGGAAGGCAATGGAGGATGGCCCAAGTGCTTGGGTCCTGCACCCCATGGGAGACCAGGAGAAGCACCTGGCTCCTGCCTTTGGATCAGCGAGGTGCGCCGGCCGCAGCGCGCCAGCCGTGGCGGCCACTGGAGGGTGAACCAACGGCAAAAAGGAAGACCTTTCTCTCTGTCTCTCTCAATCACTATCCACTCTGCCTGTCAAACAAACAAACAAACAAACAAAAAGAGTGACTTACTTATTTGAAAGGCAGAGTTAGACAGGGAGAGGAAGAGGGAGAGAGAGATCCTCAGTCAGCTGGTTCACTCCCCAAATGGCTGCAACAGCCAGGACTGGGCCAGGCTGAAGCCAGGAGACAGGAGATTCCTCCAGGTCGCCCACATGGATGCAGGGGCCCAAGCATTTGGGCCATCCTCTGCTGATTTCCCAGGCACATTAGCAGGAAGCTGGGTCAGAAGTGGAGCAGCCAGGGGTCAACCGGCCCCGATATGGGATGCTGGTGCTGCGGGCGGCGGCTTTACCCACTATGGCACAGTGCTGGCCCTATTTATTACTTTATGTGGACACATAGGTAACTTTTCTATGTTGCAAAAGCCATTTTAGAAACTGTGAGTATGTGAATACAGGTCATTAATTTTTATATCCCTTTGTGAAGAGAAATAATCTGAAATCTTACCTCTTTTTAACCTTACTTTGTTCTGCTTTGATCCTTTAAGTCATAGGGAGTCGCTTAAAGCCAGAATGAAGTATGACATTGGTACAAAGAACCTAAAAACTTTGTAAATAATTTTTCATATGTAACTTCCAAAACAGTTATACAGATGAGGAAGGAGCTGTAATATGTATATGTGGTTTGTCAAAGGTCACAAACTGAAAGCCAGACAGGCATGGCAGTCTCCTCTTTGGCCTGGACCCAGAGATTTCTGGTAATATACTTTTTACTTTAAGAAAGATAAAGCTGTACTAAAGCAGAGTAAGCTCCTTGTGAAGTTTATCATACTTGGCCAGTATTTAAAATATTTTTTATGTATTTGACAGGCAGAGATAGATGGAGAGAGAGCTCCCACATATTGGCTGACTGTACCCCATATACCTGGTCTTGGTGGGGCTAAAGCTGGAAGCCAGGAACTCCATCCAGGTTTCCCATGTAGGTGGCAGGAACCCAATCACTTGAGCAGTCACTGCTGCCTCCCAGGGTCTGCAGTAACAGGAAGCTGGAGTCAGGAGCCAGAGCCAGGCATCAGACCGAGGTGCTCCACTATAAAGTGTGCTTAACAGTGTATTAACTGCTAGGCCAGATGCCTGCCTCAAAACTTTACTTTTTTTTTTCTTTGACAGGCAGAGTTAGACAGTGAGAGAGAGACAGAGAGAAAGGTCTTCTTTTTTTCTGTTGGTTCACCCCCAAAGTGTCATCCACGGCTGGTGCATTGTGGCCGGCGCGCTGCGCCGATCCGAAGCCAGGAGCCAGGTGTCTCCTCCTGGTCTCCCATGGGGTGCAGGGCCCAAGCACTTGGGCCATCCTCCACCGCCTTCCCGGGCCACAGCAGAGAGCTGGACTGGAAGAGGAGCAACCGGGACAGAACCGAAGCCCCAACCAGGATTAGAATACCTGGCTGCCGGCGCCGCAGGCGGAGGATTAGCCTAGTGAACCATGGTGCCAGCCAAAACTTTACTTTTTAAACTCGTTTTTTTTTTTTTTTTTTAAATAATTGGCCTTCCTCTTTTATTTTCTCCACAAGTTTTTATTATGAAGATATTCGAACAGAAAATTCAGACTGTAATAAATATCTTTATCTACTTAGACTCATTAACTGGATGCCCTTAGTTTTAAGAAAGCATTTATTAGTGGGCCTCATTTTTCTTTTTTTTTTAATATATATTTGGCATGTAGAGTTAGAGAGACAGACAGAAAGGTCTTCCTCCCGTTGGTTCACTCCCCAAATTGCCGCTACGGCCGGCACTGTGCTGATCCGAAGCCAGGAGCCAGGTGCTTCCTCCTGGTCTCCCATGCGGGTGTAGGACCCAAGCACTTGGGCCATCCTCCACTGCCTTCCCAGGCCACAGCAGAGAGCTGGACTGGAAGAGGAGCAACTGGGACTAGAACCCGCTGCCCATATGGGATGCTGGTGCCGCAGGCGGAGGATTAACCAAGTGAGCCACAGCGTTGGCCATGGACCTCATTCTGAAACAAAATATTATACACTATTTGCCAGTAAGATGAGTGTGTCAAGAGGAAGTGATTTTCTTTTAATGAGCTACTAGTATTGTTTCAAGATAAGCTCGGCGGCTCAGTGTAGTAGAGCTTGGCATAATTTATTGTGAGTGACAGTTTCTGTATTTGCTTTCTGGTTACCTGATACTTAGGTACTGTTTTGAAACTTTTTTTCTAAAGATTTATTTATTTGAAAGGCAGAGTTAGAGACAGAGAAAGAGAGATATCTTCCATCCGGTTTTTCACTGCCCAAATGGCTGCCAACGGTCGATTCAAAGAGGATCCAGGAGCTTCTTCCAGGTCTCCCATGTGGGTGCACGGGCACAAAGACTTGGGCCCTCTTCTACTGCTTTCACAGGCCATAGCAGAGAGCTGGATCAGAAGTGGAGTAGCTGAGGGGCTGGTGCTGTAGTGTAGCAGGTAAAGCTGCCTTCTGCAGTGTTGGCATCCCAAATGGTGTCGGTCCGAGACCCAGCCGCTCCTGTTCCAATCCAGCTCTCTGCAATGGCCTGGGAAAGCAGTAGAGGACGACCCAAGTCTTTGGGACCCTGCTTCCATGTGGGAGACCCGAGAAGAAGGTCCTGACTTTGGATCGGCACAGCTCTAGCCGTTGCAGCCATCTGGGGAGTGAACCAGTGGATGGAAGACCTCTCTCTCTGCCGCTGCGTCTCCAAAACTCTGCTTTTCAAATTAATAAATAAATCTTAAAAAAAAAAAAGTTCTGTGCACCAAAAAATGAATTTTCTTATGTGTGAATTGAAAAGTATGTGAAAAGTATAAATATGGCAGGAAAAGGAGGCTGACTTTTTTCCAGCAAGGCGGTAGACAACTAGTATGCATGTAGCTGTTGCAATTGTCGGCATAAAACATTTGGGAAATTTTTAATTGGTAGGAAAATAGATTTTTGTGTTTGAAGATTTAGAATTTGATATTCAGAAGCAAAGGAAGAAATGAATCTTGGAAAACTTAAGTTGAATGGGTAACAGTGGACAGTAATTTTGTTTAGATATTGTTTCTAGATTCTTATTTTAGGAAAAAAAATGCAGCTCCCCCCAAAAAGATGGAGGGGATGTGTGCTTTTATGTGCCTTAGTTCACATTAAAGGGATAAGCTCTGTTGATCTCTTCACATTTTATGTGTTAGCTGTATTTGAAGAAACTTCATTTAACTGTGGAGAGTATCGTTTGTTCATGAAACTAAAACCTTTTAATTCTGAAGCAACAAAAGAAGCCTGCTGTGGTTTCTTGAATCTAACTAATGTATTTCCGTTTTCTCTAAAAAGTAGTTGAGTCAGCTGCGAAAGTGGTCACATCGTTCTGTCCTATGGGAAATATTGAGTATAAAGAAGCAGGGAAAGAGAAAATAGTGTTTAGGTTTTGAGAGAAAAAATTAGAATCTTTCAAATTACAAACCAAAATCTGTAAGCTGTATCACTAAAAATGGACCAAAGAGGATCTATTGTAATTTTGATGCAATTTAAAGAAATTTCCAAGGATTATTTCCCACCCCACCCCCCCATTCATGTTAAGAGCTGTAAGTTGATTATGGCTTTGGGATGACTGCTTATTATTCCTAAATTTTCCTGTGTGTGACATTTTCCTTTTTACTTTTGATCTTACTGGATTGCCTTAAAATTCCTGTTGGCTCCTACTGCAGTATCCTTTTCAATTTTCTTCAAAGTTTCTCTTTGCTTTGGGTGCCTTTTCTCTTCTCCTCATCCCAATTACTTGGTGTATCCTTTCTTTTCCTCTTATTTATTTAATATACTCAGGTAAGACTTGCTGGCGATATTAACCTTGTGAAGATAGCAAATTAGCCTTACTTTATTGAGTACTGCCCCTACCACTTTCCTGTTTTACTGCTTACACAAAAATCTGGCCTTTGTGGAGAATTCTTAGGTCAAAGATGACAGAGTAGTGGAGTTGATAAACTGTGGAACCAGACTTGGGGTTGGAAGGTCATCAAAAGGCTTACCTTCATTGTTCTAAAAGAGAATATTAATCTTAAAAAGGGGGGTGTGCCTGCAGTGCTGGCACCTCATATGGGTGCTGATTCAGGTCCTAGCAGCTCCACTTCCGATCCAGCTCTCTGCTGTGGCCTGGGAAAGCAGTGCAAGATGGCCCCAAGTCTTTGGGCCCCTGCACCTGTGTGGGAGACCAGGAAAAAGCTCCTGGCTTCTGGCTTCAGATCGGCCCACCTCCAGCCGTTGCAGCCATCTGGGGAGTGAACCAGTGGATAGAAGACCTCTCTCTGCCTGTCTCTCTGTAACTGATTTTCTAGTAAAACAAATAAATATTTTACTTTCAAGTAGTTTCGTAGCTGCACAGTAATGCAGAGTACACACTAAAGTCCCTCTTTAAAGCCATTCTCAGTGCTTTTCAAAAGTTGTAATTTCCTACATCACATTTTTACACATTTATGACATATGACACAACATTTTGAAACAGAACAATCTTTTCTTTCATTTTACATGCATATGAGGGTACTTCAAAAAGTTCATGCTTATGTTGATGCAAAAAATTTTTTGAAATGGGTATTTTTTCACAATTATAAATGTATAATCATTATCTAATATAAAACTATAAAGTAGTTCTGCTACCTGAGCTTAGTCTTTGTTCAGAGGAACAGAGACCGACAGACAAAAGAGAAAGGATGTTCCACTATCACTCCCCAGATACCTGCGATGGCTGAGAGGCTGAAACTGGAAGCCAGGAACTTAATCCAGGTATCCCATGTGGCTGGCAGGAACTCAGTTACTCTAGTCATCACAATTGTCTCCCTCGGCCTGCATTAGCAAGAAGCTTGGGTCAGGGGTCACAGCCAGGTATCCACCCTGACTACTCTGATGTGGGACTTGCCTGCCCCAGCTTTTAAATAGTTTGCCTTCTAGATGTAGTTCCAATTATGGCTGCTGAAATTACTGCTAAAAAATTATTTACTAGTTTATTATAAGGTGGATTATAGATTAAGTCCTATTACATTACTTTGGTGGTAATATGATTTGTGTGTTTGTGTGTGTTTATGTATCCCTGAATAAAGTGACTGAAGAAATATTTAGCCTTATTTATGGATCTAAAACTTTGAAGGATGATTTCACATTTTAAAATCAAATTTGCATTGATAAATGGTATTTTTCTTTAAAAAATTTATCACTTAAAAATGTTCAAACAATTTTTAACATTTTGCTGTATTCACTTCATATGTAGATATTGTATACATATATACTGTTTTTCTTGAAAACAGGGCTACCAGTATCACAAAATGGTGGAATTCATGACAGTGACCTTATATAAAGTAGGGGAAAGAAGGGTGTATTGTCAGGTGCATGGTATAATGCAGTGAAACACTATTTATAACTATATAGCAAATAATGTGACACCCACACAATTTCTATACTCTCTATATTCCACAGATAAGAGAACAAATGGAATATTTGTCTTTCTAGGTCTGGCTTATATCACTTAGAAAAGTGGAATTCTCTAGATCAGGGATTTCAAATATTTGGTCTTGGGTGATTATTACACTCTCAGAAAATTAAGGATCCCAAGAACTTTTGTTTATGAGTATACTTTCTGTTCACTGTATTAGTAGTTAAAATAGAACATGAAAATATAGTAATTCATTTATAATAACTGATAAACTGATTACATGTGAACAAGTAATTTAGGAAAAATAACTATTTTCCAGAACAAAATTATGAGAAGAGTGGCATTCCTTTTGATGTTTATGTCTTTAATGAATGCTTATTAAATGGAAGATAACTGGAGTGTTTTATGTACTTCTTTTTTGAACCTGCTGCAATACATTACTTTGGTTGAAATATGAAGAAAAGTCTGGCATATACAGATACGTGGTTGGTAAAGGGAAGAATATTTTAATGCCCTTTTCATGGTAATTGTGGCTCTTTTTTGATACCATACCCGAACTTGACCGGTGTTAGTTTCTTGTTGCAGTATGGATCCTTAAGTCATATTTAAAGAACTTATTGGGAGCCGGCGCCGTGGCTCAATAGGCTAATCCTCCACCTTGCGGCGCCGGCACACCGGGTTCTAGTCCCGGTTGGGGCGCCGGATTCTGTCCCGGTTGCCCCTCTTCCAGGCCAGCTCTCTGCTATGGCCAGGGAGTGCAGTGGAGGATGGCCCAGGTGCTTGGGCCCTGCACCCCATGGGAGACCAGGAAAAGCACCTGGCTCCTGGCTCCTGCCAGGATCAGCGCGGTGCGCCGGCTGCAGCGGCGGCCATTGGAGGGTGAACCAGCGGCAAAGGAAGACCTTTCTCTCTCTCTCTCACTGTCCCCTCTGCGGTTATAAGAAAAAAATAAGAGAAAGAAAAAAAAAAAAACCCACGCACTTATTGGACTGTCTGCTACTTTAAATGGATCTTTTATCTGTGCACAACATTACGCATGCAGACTTGAGAAAATAGCTCAGTGTCATTTAAATCTTCAAATACTGACGTTTAAGAAAACAATACTCCACCCCACCTCCAGACATGAAGTAATATAACCATTGATTTCATCAGAAAAGTCTTTAATTAATGGGAAGCTGTGAAGCTCAGAAGTGGCAAGTATGTTTTCCAAAAGTCTAATTTTCACATAAAAACCTTTTCACTGGTAAGAAATACTGTTACTTGCTTTCCTTGAAGTAACAAGCTCATTTTGTTCATTTTCAAGAAAATGCCTATCCTATATCTAAATCTGAACAGCCATGGTTGGCTATGCAAAAAGCAGTAGGTTCAGCCTGCAACTCAGATATATAAGTGGTTTTCCTCACATAACAACTCTGGTATGCAGAAGCGCTGTATATGTACCGCTCATTTTGTCAAATATTAAAAAAAGACATGCATACAAGGATTGAGGTATAATAAAATTAATACTTTTCCTGTTCATCAGGAACATTCGTAAATGAATCTGGCTCCCAACCCTACCAGGAATTGATGGTGATAAATACGACTGGTGGCACAACCCTACCAGGAATCGATGGTGATAAATACAATGACTGGTGGCACAATTTGTTGTTGCTTATTGCCTTGCTTTCTTGTGAAAGCTCCATCCTGCCATTGCTTTTGCTGTCAGTGCAAATGTTAACAGGGGTTCAGAAAGCAAATGTCACCTTTACTATCAGGAAAATAAGCTCACAGATGCCCTAAAAGAGGGACACCCACGTTTCTGCCCACACTTTGATAATTGATGGTGTAAATAAGATGGCTTTGATTACTGGCTTTGTAGTTTAAAAATGACAAAAACTGAATTCCCTAGGGAAGAGTGAATCACAACTATCTTGTGCTTTTACCTGTAATTTAGTGATTGTAATCTTGGCTTGGAAATAGAAAAATATACCAACTTCTAATATAAGTCTGCAGGAGGGTACATGCTTAGATTTATAGTATTTCTGTGCTTCTTTCTTTTAAATAGCATACCATTTTATGTTTGTGGGCCCAGGGTAAAGAACTCATTCTATTATAGACACTGAGTGGCTTTGTTTCTGACAGCTAGTAGTCCGCTCTGTTTTCAAACAATCAGTTGGGTCCTACTGGCTCAACTTGCAGTTGTCCTGGTCCTAACCCTGTCTCAGCCAAAGACTGTTGTTGGAAAGTCCACACAAAGGCCTTGTGTACAGGGTGCCCCACTAATGAGGAGCGTGTTCTAGTCCCGGCAGATTAAATCTGCTTTGGTGTGCATTCCCTTCCCAGATTTCTCACTTATTTTTGTTTGGCTGGTTATTTCAGTGAAGGGTCATTTTAATGTGAAGATAGCTTTTTCTAATAAAAGTCATAGTAAAGGAGATTACTGGGGTAAAATGTTATGTCTTTTTCTGTGCTAGGATGTGATGGAGCTGCTTGAAGAAGATCTGACGTGCCCAATCTGTTGCAGTCTGTTTGATGATCCACGAGTGTTGCCTTGCTCACACAACTTCTGCAAAAAATGCTTGGAAGGTCTCTTAGAGGGGAATGTGCGGAATTCGTTGTGGAGACCATCGCCATTCAAGTGCCCCACCTGCCGTAAGGAAACATCAGCTACTGGAGTTAACAGCCTGCAGGTTAATTATTCCCTGAAGGGTATTGTGGAAAAGTATAACAAGATCAAGATTTCTCCCAAGATGCCAGTGTGCAAAGGACACTTGGGGCAGCCTCTAAACATTTTCTGCCTGACTGATATGCAGCTGATTTGTGGGATCTGTGCTACCCGTGGTGACCACACCAAGCATGTCTTCTGTTCTATTGAAGATGCCTATGCTCAGGAAAGGAATGCTTTTGAATCCCTCTTCCAGAGCTTTGAGACATGGCGTCGGGGAGATGCTCTTTCTCGCTTGGATACCTTGGAAACTAGCAAGAGGAAATCCCTACAGTTACTGACTAAAGATTCAGATAAAGTGAAGGAGTTTTTTGAGAAATTACAACATACACTGGATCAAAAGAAGAATGAAATCCTATCTGACTTTGAGACCATGAAACTTGCAGTGATGCAAGCCTATGACCCAGAGATCAACAAACTCAACACCATCTTGCAGGAACAACGAATGGCCTTTAACATTGCTGAGGCATTCAAAGACGTGTCAGAGCCCATCATATTTCTGCAACAGATGCAGGAGTTCAGGGAGAAAATCAAAGTAATCAAGGAAACTCCTTTACCTCCCTCTAATTTGCCCACAAGCCCTTTAATGAAGAACTTTGATACCAGTCAGTGGGAGGACATCAAATTAGTAGACGTGGATAAACTTTCTTTGCCTCAAGACACTAGCACATTCATTAGCAAGATTCCCTGGCGCTTTTATCAGCTACTTGTGGTGGTCCTTCTGCTTGGCCTCCTTGTTTTCTTCAGTCCTACTGTATTCCTAGAATGGTCTTTATTTGATGAATTGGCAGCATGGAAAGACCACCTTTCAAACTTTAGTTCTTATCTGACTGAGAAAGCTGATTTTGTAGAACAATCCATTTTTTACTGGGAACAGGTGACAGATGGGTTTCTCATTTTCAGTGAAAAATTCAGGAATTTTAGTTTGGTGGTGCTGAACAATGTGGCAGATTTTGTGTGCAAATATAAACTATTATAAAATATGTTTCATGTATGCAGTTCTTTTATTAGAATTTGTTAGAATAGTAATTCAACTTTGGTCAAGATTCCAGTCAGATGTTTTCCTCGAAAAAAATTTCCTTCAAAAACAATGTCCTGTGGTGGCATCTGGCATGTTGTCCTACATTGGAGTGTCTGGGTTTGATACTTGGCTCCAGATTCCTGCTAATGTGAACTCAGGAAGGCAGTGGCTCAAGTGGTTGGGTTCCTGCCACCTACACTGGCAGATGTGGATTGAGTTTGCTGCTCTTAACTTCTGCCTTGGCCCTGGCCCAGCCCCAGTTGTCTCAGATAGGAGCATGTGCTTTCTCTGTATCCTCAAATAAAAACTGAAACAAAAAAATCATATGTTCAAACTAGATAGCATAAGGATAAAAGGGAAACTTGCTAATACAGCCCTGGACCATCCTTCCTTTATAAAGAGTGACTTTGAAATGAGTTTTCTGCCCACAGTATTGATTGTGCTTATGCTGGGATTAAAAATGGGAAGTGAGAGCATATGGTTATCTATTGTATTGACAAGGTAGGTAGTATAACAGTGATTGTCCATCAAGCATGAAATAAAGACTACTCTTGTAAAGCACTTTTTGCATAGTGAACATTCTTTAAGGAAACATGATGTGGATGGAATGGATTTCCCCACTTTTCTAGAGGGCTGATTCATTTCTAATCAAAATATAAATCTTTTGTAAACAGAAACTGGCACTTTCCTGTGATGAATTTACATTTTTCAAGAAGGTGAAGGTTTTAGCTTACCTTTTTGTTTTTTTAAGATTTTCATGAAATATGATTAACTGCAGAAGTGTTAGGGGGCTGTACATAGGCAGATTTAAAGAGATCCAGTGCATGGCAAAAGCAAGAAATGGGAAAGCCATCTTTCTACTGATAGCTCAGTACTTTGTTGTTCCAAAGTACCAGGGCTACTGTACAACCAAACCAATCCACTTGCAGAATTTTTAGACTAATAATAGGTGAAATAATCTGTTGGTTGTTATAAAGTACAAAGTAAACAGTTGAACACTAAGGCTGCCCTCTATCTGCTCACATGAGAAAAATGCACTATCACAGAATAAAATTACTTAATATTTTCACCTTACCTTCATATGAAAACAAAAAAGTTACCTAAGCTAAGAACTGCTCTCTAGTTCCCCTTCTTTTTTGTCAAGGAACAAGACATTCCTTTGAAAACCCATTAAGTGGAATAGGATTTTGGAGAATAGAGTATCTTACCCCAGTGCTCCTCTAACTTGATTGAGAGAAGGTAAGCAAGAACAAGAAAAAAGGAGGCAAAGTACAGAAAAAAATCATTTCCTTCTGGCTATGAGAAAAGTCAAATTAAGCTGCTAGATGGGTGATAGCCACCTTATTCCTAATGGATAACTCAAAATTTAGCCATTAAATTGCTAAGAGAATCATAAGAAATTAAGGGTGTTTCTCTGTAAATCTTAGCTCTACCATGATGGCTCACAGTAGATAAGTCTGGGGAGGGAGGATGCTTTTGTGCTCTCAGTAATTTTTTTTAAAACACAGATCTACACCAGGTTTTCATGGAGAATTTTTTCATGGAATACAGAAAAGTGATCTATGTGACATCTGCCTTCAAATGTTGGCAGTTTTCTGTAAGCCATTCAGTTCCTCATCTGTTGCTTTTTCATTTTGTGTACATGTTCCCAAGCAACTCAGATTTGCAAACACAGCTATGGATACACTATATGCCCTACAGTAGTTACCCAGGCATCTAGGTCTGGTTTTTGTTGTTTTTCCCCTCCCTCCTATTTCTTAATCATATACAAATAGCATCGTTTACATTTATAGGTTGATTTACAAGTTGTTCAAGACTATAGCTTAGAGTTCGTAGCCTCTAGTTTGATGCTAGGGAAGAATGAGTAGTCAAGAACTGGTCACTTTGAACGTGGGAGGGAAGATATTCACAACAAAGATTTCTACCATAAAGCAGTTTCCTGCCTCTCGATTAGCACAAATGGTAGATGGCCAAGACCAAGAACTCAAGATGGTCGGTGGCCAGATTTTTGTGGACAGAGATGGTGTTTTATTTAGTTTCATCTTGGATTTCTTGAGAACTCACCAGCTTTTGTTACCCACCGACTTTTCAGACTACCTTAGGCTTCAGAGAGAGGCTCTTTTCTATGAACTTGATTCACTGGTTCATCTCTTAAACCGACACCTGCTACAGAAAGGACCTGCTGTCTTGGAGGTGCACTTCCTAAGCCGAAACACTCAAGCATTTTTCAGGGTGTTTGGCTCTTGCAGCAAAACAATCAAGATGTTAACTGAGAGGATTACAGTGTTTATAGAGCAACCTTCAGCACTCACCTGGAATAGCAACTCCTTCCCCCCGCAGGTGACCTTCCTTCCACTGCCTCCACAAAGACCTTCTTACCACGACCTGGTTTTCCAGTGCGGCTCTGACAGCACTCCTGAGAACCAAACTGGAGTCAGGTATTTTGTACTTTGAGGCATCTCTCTTCTAAACCAGTTTCTGCAGTTTTCCTTCAAAATTGAATGTTCCTCTTTCCCGAAACTTTTCTTGGGAGAAAATGATTTTTTAAAATTTCGGGATAATCAGTGGAGTTGGGTAGAATGACCAAATAACTGTTTTCTGAACTGGGATACTTTTCATAGTGGAAAGGGACATATTTACATGGAACAAAAGGAGTAAACCAAACTGCCCAGGGAAAGCTGGGACAATGATTATTCATTTTAAGAGGAGATAATTTTATAGATTATATTCCACTGCTAAAGAATTTGGCTTAGAAGTGAATTGCCTTACTTTTCAAGAAATTATTTTAGTGACTTCCATATACAAAGGGCTCAATAGTTTTCTCCCAATTTCCTTATATACTATATATATCTATTCTTGAAGTCTTTATGGTTCAATTATGGATTTTTCTTCATCTTTATTTTTAAAACACCCTTAAAGGCAGATATATCTCATGGCAGACTTGCTATCCTAGTACATCACTGGCTCTTACACAGCTCAAAACATTGGAATAGGCTGTATCTTAAGCTTAGTTGCTCCTGAGTCATTATTCACTTTCTCTGTTTTCTTGGCTGGATCCTCAGGCTGATTTTCACTCTGCATTCACATCCCCTCTCCGCCCCTTAAAAATGTCTTCATGTTGTGCTACCATTATTTTACGGATGTGAAAGCTTTCATTTTTGTAGGTGGAGAAAAGCCTGTATGTGTTCTTTACTGGTAGCATCTAAAATAATATATACTTTGTGTGTTGGGGGGTGGTGGGGAGTAAAGGTAGATAGATATTTTGGAATACTTCCTTGAGTAGTAGCCATCAGGAAGCATATTTGTTTACCTATTGGAGAACACGGAACAATTAAACTGAGTATGTTAATACTTAAGTGCTTTGTAATTGTATCGCCCAAAGAGACTGAAATATCATTTTGGGAAAAGAGTCAAATTAATGGGCTGATTGTGAAGAAAATATAAGAACCCATCTTTGTTTCAAATTGTCTTAACTCTATGTACAATTATAAATGATCAGTTTTTGGTTTTTAAGATTTAAGTGATTAAGATTTCTTTTGGGATCCCTTTTGAAAAAGTTAGAAACATAAGGGAAAATGGTGTCCTTGATTTTAAGAAGAAACAGGCGAGGTGAATATAAAGAAGATGCTTTGGAAACACTAAATGCTTTTTAAAAGCTGCACTTGGAGAAAATGTTTAAAAAACAAGATTAGAAATGAAAATTGAGATATTCCTATGTGTATACAGTGCCAAATGGTTTCTACTTTTTATTGTCCTAGAAACAGCACTTTTTCTGTTTTAATGTGAGAAAGGTATTATATTTAAACTTCAACAATAGATAATGCCAAAATGTTATTTTTTAAAGATTTTTTGTGTCACCAAATGGTATTCGATTGTTTGAAGTTCAGAATTTTTTCCATCCCATAACTATCTGTGATTTTAAAAATATAGTGCTAATTTTAAAGTAAAGATATATAGTCTGAATAAGCTGACATTATAGGGCTCTCTGGTAACTGAATGAAAAATCTGGCCATCAATGGCCCACTTGAGTATAAAACTGTCTAATTAGCAAACTTTTATTATTTTTGCTCACTCTTTGGTCTGGATTTGTCTATTGAGATGGTTTTGGAAGGTAGAAAGTAGAGGAGGAAGCCTGAATGGCTCCTATTAGTCTGGTATATCATCTCATTTATTCAGTATGTTCCACCAGTATGATTTTCCATGCTAAAGTCTTGTTAGCTTAGCGGCTGTTCAGTTATTATTTCTCAAGCTCATAGTACTATAAATGCTTGTATCTTTCAGATAGCCACTGATGTGACAAAACATTATCAAGTTATGGTCACAGCTTTCTAGGGTCCCTTTGGTAGCCTTTATTGTGTTTGACCTCTCCTTTATAAACTGCCTCAATAGAAAATGCCTTTGAAATATAAAAAAAAGTTTAGAATTTTTATTTACTAGTTTATTATCCTTTTTTTTGCTTCGAAATCTTTTATTCTTCAACTGGACTTCCTAGAGAATTCAGTACCTTTAGGTTAGTGATTTCTTATACGTACATTCCACTTTGTTACCACCCACTATATACTATTTGTAGTTTAAATCTTTTATGAGCTACTCGGAAACATTATCTCTTTGACAAATGTTTCTAGCCTACATAACCAAGACCTGGGACCTGGGACTGGATGAAATGATTTAATGATGTTAAAGATTTGCTGTATCAAATATAATCAACATTATTTTAAGATGTGCTTTGTAGTTTGATAATTCTTAGATTTCACTATTGTTTTCTTCGCCTAGAATTAGTTGCTAAATATGATGACCTCTAGTGAATACTCTATTTCAATCATGATCATTAAAAGGATGCTGGGAATAACCCCAAGCATTTTATTACCCATATTGTTACTTAGATAGTTCTAGGAGTTTCCCTGGAATGACCCTGTTACTCTTCACATTTTATAAACAAACAGTGGGAGAACAAAGATGAAAACATTCTTCATGGTAGTTAAGGAAGAAGTAATAGAGCTACATCTGTAATAGATGTGTTATGCCGACACTATGAAAGCCAACATATAGCTATCTGAAAAGTTCAGACATTTTTCTTGAATTATGTGCAGTGATCCTGTGGAATCACCCAGGCAGAAGATTTTACTGTTTCTCCTCCAAAGGCTCTTTGACCCCAAATCTTTGATGATGGGCAGTTAATGACCAAAAAGTGGCAATAAAATCTTGACATTTTAATTTTTTATCTGCAAAATTTCACTTAAAAATTGATAGGAGTAAGTCACAAAAGAAAATTCAGAATGTCATTACTAATAATTGGTAAAATGAGATGAGGGAAAATTGTAAATGTACAAAGTGCTCATTTAATCAATTAAATCGAGGAAAGTAGCAAATTAAAAACTGAAAATGGTTAGATTATACTACATAAAAATTAAGCCAATTCAATTTTTTTTATCAAATTGTTTGCTTTAGAAAATATTTCTCAGTGAAAATTCATCTATCTTGGCTATATGCCTAAGTGTGGAACTGACTTTAGACATCACAGTAAGGTCTTTAGTACCCCAAATTATTTAGATTTATAAACAAACTCTGAAAAATCTGACAGGATTTCAGATTTTCAGCTTTCATTTGAGGTAATAAGTAAATTTTTTGAGTAGTTTTGCTAATTTTAAAGGGATACTTTATAATTAAACTTTATGTGTTTAGGTATGTTTCTATAAAACCTGATAATCGAAAATTGGCCAACGGAACAAATGTCCTCGGCTTACTGATTGATACCATATTGAAAGAAGGCTTCCATCTGGTCAGCAGGACAGTATCATCTGAAGACAAAAGTGAATGCTATAGCTTTGAAAGAGTAAGAAGCCCTGAAGCATTTGCCATGAACAAAACACCAAAACCAGAGATGACCATCATGTCAGAGCAATCTCAGAAAAAGACATAAAGTTGTGTGTACTGAGTAAAGGAAAACTGTCATTTTCTTGTGTAGAAACTCTCTCCTTGGGCATATATGTACATAGTCAAATCTTTACTCAGGCTTTTTGGCCTCCTATTATGTTACCTCTGGGCAATCAGGCCCCTAGCAGTGCTTAAGCTGCTCTGAATGGTCTGCTGATCTCTCAACAATATGTGCTGGATGATAATCACATGTTCCTTCTACCATCAAAGCCAGTTTGCCGTATTTATGATTATATTAATATTTTGACAGGCAGAGTGGACAGAGAGAGAGACAGAGAGAGAAAGGTCTTCCTTTGCCGTTGGTTCACCCTCCAATGGCCGCCGCTGCAGCCGGCGCACCGCGCTGATCCGATGGCAGGAGCCAGGATCCAGGTGCTTTTCCTGGTCTCCCATGGGGTGCAGGGCCCAAGCACCTGGGCCATCCTCCACTGCACTCCCTGGCCATAGCAGAGAGCTGGCCTGGAAGAGGGGCAACCGGGACAGAATCCGGCGCCCCAACTGGGACTAGAACCCGGTGTGCCGGCTCCGCAAGGTGGAGGATTAGCCTATTGAGCCACGGCGCCGGCTTGTGTTTGCCTTTCTTGAACAGTGAACACAGCTTTCAGAGACGGGTTCTGGAGTCAGATTGCTTGTTTCTAGTCCCAGATAAGTCACCTATTAGCTATGTGACTTGAGTATCATTTAACCTCTCTGTGCTTCAACTTCTTCATCTGCCACATAGGTATAATGAAGATATCTCCCTCAAAGGAAATGTGAGGATTAAGGCAGGGAATTAATACCTGGCAGAGGCTGGGCATTCAGTAAACTGTTGATGATGTGATAATGATGAAGAAAATGGGTGGCCCACTTTCATTTGAAACTTTTGTGTGGCCTTTTATTTTCTTCCTTTCCTATGGATATTAGTTAATCCTTCTGTATAGACTTTATATGCCACATAAAACAAACTTACTCAGTTGAATGTGAGCTTCTCGAACCACTCAATAGTTTTTAACGCTATTATAAGTGACACACCATGCTTACCACTTAGAATGCTTTTGTTATTAAGTAGTACCTAAATTTGGTGATCAGTTTGGAAAACCTCTGTCAACATTTAATATACACATTCTTAGTGTCATTTGAAACACCAGGATAAACATCTAGAAGAGGAGTCACTAAGTCAAAGTGTGCAAAGTACTTTGCATATAGTAGAGTTAAAAGCTGTTGAGTGTGGGGCTGACGATGTGGTGTAGTAGGTTAATCCTCTGCCTGTGGTGCCAGCATCCCATAAGGATGTCATTTTGTGACCTGGCTGCCCCATCTCTGATCCAGCTCCCTCCTAAAGGCATAGGAAAAGCAGGAAATGGCCCAAGTCCTTAGGCCCCTAAATCCATGTGGGAAACCCAGAAGAAGCTCCAGGCTCCTGGCTTTGGCTTGGCCCAGACCTGGCCATTGAGGCCGTTTGGGAAGTAAACCGGTGAATGGAAGATCATCTCTCTGTGTAAATCTGCAATAAATTTTATTTTTAAAGAGAAGAATGGTCCAAATAAAAACATGCTGTAAGAATAAGGTTGGTTTTTTTTTTTTTTTTTTTTTTGCTTTTGACACCACTCATCATTTCCTTTCTGTAGAAAAACCAACTTAGTTTTTTCAGGGTGTTGCTTAGTTTTGGGGAAGATGTTTGGTCTGATTTCCTGTTGGCAGTATAATCTAGGGCAAAATATTTCTATTCTAATAAATATTTGCCATGAAAGTGATTAAACTAGTTTTATATAAATTTCCATGGTCATACATATAACACTTTAATTCTGTATACTGAAACTGAAAGGTGGGGGCTGGTGTTGTGACATAGTGGGTAAAGCTGCTGCTTGAGATGCCAGCATGCCATATGGGTGCTGGTTTGAGACCCTGATATTCTACCTCTGATGCAGCTCCCTGCTTATGGCTTGGGAAAGCAGTAGAGGATGGCCCAGGTGATTGGGCCTCTGCTATCCACACGGGAAATCTGGCGGAAACTCCTGGGTCCTGCCTCGGCCTGGCCCAGCTCTGGCTGTTGTGTGGCTATCTGGGGAGTGAACCAACAGATGGAAGATCTATAACTCTAACTTTCAAATAAATAAATAAATCTTACAAAACCTAAAATGTGGTTAAAATACTGAAGCAAAAAATACTTTAGGGGCTGGTGCTGTGGCACAGTGGGTTAACGCCCTGGCCTGAAGCGCTGGCATGCCATATGGGTGCTGGTTCGAGACCCAGCTGCTCCACTTCCATTCCAGCTCTCTGCTATGGCCTGGGAAAGCAGTAGAAGATGGCCCAAGTGCTTGGGCCCCTGAACCCACATGGGAGACCGAGAAGAAGCTCCTGGCTTCTGGCTTTGGATCGGCGCAGCTCTGGCCATTGCGGCCAACTGGGGAGTGAACCAGCAGATGGAAGACCTCTCTCTCTCTCTCTCTCTAACTTTCAAATAAATAAATAAAACTTAAAAAAAAAAAAACTTTAACCACAGTTTGGCAAGGAGTAAGTCAGTAATGTTCAAACGGCTTTTAATGTGTTTATAGCCATTCACATTTGCAGGAAAACAATTGAAATTAGGATATTTTGGGGCTGGCGCCACGGTGCAGTAGGTTAATCCTCCACCTGTGGCGCCAGCATCCCATATGGGCACCAGTTTGATTCTTGGCTGCTCCTCTTCCAGTCCAGCTCTCTGCTATGGCCTGGGAAAGCAGTGGAAGATGGCCCAAGTCCTTGGGCCCCTGTACCCACGAGGGAGACCAGGAAGAAGCGCCTGACTCCTGGCTTCGGATTGGCGCTGCTCCGGCAGTTTAGGCCATTTGGGAAGTGAACCAATGGAGGGAAGACCTTTCTCTGTCTTTTGCTCTTACTGTCTGTAACTCTAACTCTCAAATAAATAATAAATAGAATCTTAAAAGAAATTAGGATATTTTTAAATGAGGTAATAAAAATGTATTACGTATGGAAAAATACATAATTCAGTGAATATTGACATGTATTGTGTGCCAAATGTATCCCAAATATTAGAGATCCTTACTGAAAAGAACAAAATAAATTTCTGCCCCTCAAGGTAGCATACTACAAATATAATTTATAACACCGACAATGGACTTAAAATAACTAAAGCCTTTCAAAGAATTTCTCAAGTTAGAATGCAGGCTTTTTTAAGAGACAGATTATCACAATTAAATATATAATATTCACTAGGGAAACAGAACTTTCAGAGTAGACTGAGTTTCTCATTTCAGTAAATATTTGAGAGATGATCTCATCTGGAAGCACATCTGTCAGTATCATCTCAGTAAGGCTCTGTGTTCACTTCAAAATAGAGTAGGATACTGTTAGCTGGGATGCCAAGGCATGCAAAAATAATTGAGTCTTGTTTTAGAAAGGGAGGCAGGCAAATGTAGCTTGAAGAAAACAGGTTTGATGCATCATAGGCAAATAAAATCTACCTGCAAAAAGACTTGTACATTTTTATGTGAGTACCACCTGACTCTCAACTTTTTGCCTGAAGAAATTTGTCATTTTTATTTTAAATAAGAAAATGATGGCAAGGCCAGCACTGTGGCACAGTGGGAAAGCTGCTACTTGCAGTGCCAGCATCCCATCTGGGAGCCAGTTCGAGTCCCTGCTGCTCCACCTCCGATCCAGGTCTCTGCTATAGCCTGGAAAAGCAGCAGCAGATAGTCCAAGTGTTTGGGCTCCTGCACCCACGTGGGAAGAATCTCCTGGCTCCTGACTTCAGATCAGCCCAGCTCCAGCCATTGTGGCCAGCTCGGGGGTGAATCAGTGGATGGAAGACTTCTCTCTCTGTCTCTCTAATTCTATTTCAAATAAATAAATAAATCTTTAAAAAAAAAAAAGAAAAGAAAATGATGGCAGAAGCTCATCTTGGCTACTATACTGTAAACCTTTTTCTAATAAATCAAACACCTACCATTCCATTTGATATACACAAGTATGAATTATCACAGTGGCATGTTAAGTTTTGTCACTTTTAATGGTACCATCAATAGTTGGGCCTCCTGTATTATCTCATTTCTGCTGTGTATGTTGTGCTTTGCATCACTCAGTTTTATTTTTGATAAGGCATCAAAGATGTTAGCTTATGATTTTTGAACCTCAATAACTTACTTTAAAAAACAATTTCCTTTGTAAGTGAATGGAAGTTCTCTCTACAAATATTTTCTGAGAAGGAGCTCTAGTGTTGAATTTACTCTTGCATTTAATATACAAGTCATAATTGCAAAGATTTTTTAGGTCATGGTAAAGTCAGAACCACTTTGGACTGCCTTTAATATATATCTACATTAAGCAGACAGAACTAGTATAAAATGGTCAAGGGAAAGCAGGTTGAGAGATGGCTTAGGTAATCATAATGTTTCTACTTTTTCTTGTATACCATTTACATCTAACAAACTTCAGCTATGCTTTATAAGCTTTTATGTTGACTCTTTATCATAGATCACATCACTAGAGATGCACAGCATCAGAGACTATGCTGGGGTATGGGATAATAAAAGATTTTCTATGAGCATTCTAAACCCCTTTATTTTGCTCTTTTTCCTGTGTGCTGGGGAATTTTATTGTAACAGCAAAATTGGTAATGTAGAAGCTGCTAAGAGGACATTTTAAAAAAGAAATTTAGGGGGCTGGCACTGTGGCACAGTGGGTTAAAGCCCTGGTATGCAGCACTGGCATCCCATTTAGGTACTGGTTCCAGTCCCAGCTGCTTCACTTTGATCCAGATCTCTGCTGTGGCCTGGGAAAGCAGTAGAGAATGGCCCAAGTCCTTGGGCCCTTGCACCTGCATCAGAGACCCAGAAGAAGCTTCTGGCTCCTGGCTTCAGATTGGCACAGTGCTGGTCATTGCAGCTGTCTGGGGAGTGGACCAGCAGATGGAAGACCAACCTCGACCTCGACCTCAACCTCGACCTCCCCCTCCCGCCTCTCTGTAGCTCTTTCAGATAAATAAATAAATCTTAAAAAAAAAAAAAAAAAGAAAGAAATTTAGGAAATTTTATTACCTTCCTGGACTCAAACAACCCATGTAAAATATAGAATGTAGCACTAATTTAGTATTTTTAAATCTCAACAAATAAAGACATTGAAATATGTTACTAAAAATAAAGTTCTGAAACACCAACAACCTAGTAAAAAAATTATCTACCAGATTTTCTACAGAATTAAACCTCAGGATGTATTAGGCCTTCTATAATGCTGTATACAAATTTCACCAAAAACCTCATCATCTAAAATAGTCTTAGTATTTATCTAAATTATGAGAAATCCAGCACTAAAATCTTTTAGTAGACTAAATCTGTACATGGGTGAAAATGGGAAATAAACATTAAGCATTGCACAGAATTAAAAAGGAACTAAACAAAGCAAAGTAAATAGGATTTTGTGCCCCAAACTAAAATGTGCTTAAGACTTGTCTAACTGTACATGGCTTTTAAATAGGTAATCTTCGATGTCACAAAAGCACCTCAAGTTCAGAAATAATGGAAACAAATGGTTTTTTACCTTATCAGCTGGGTAGAACATACCAATTATGTTTCATGTTATTTTTTCTCATTTCACAACCCTTCAGTAAAACAGGTGGATTTCTTTAGGTTCCCTAGTAGGAATCCAAGTAGTGTGTTATTTTACTCTTTTTTGTATTAAGAGACAGGGAAGTCAAACCACCATGCCTGAGGTTTCACAAGTTCTGTTAAGATGGGGACTGGGACTGTGCTTAATAGTGGTCTTTTATTCCCTCATAGTGCTAGACATCTAATAGACTCAACTGAATTAAAACATTTGGAACATTACATTAGTGAATAAAATCATGGAAAAGAAAGAATTATCATAGACTCAAAGATGGATGAGGATACTTTATATAATCTAGCCTGGAACAGTTCACTTAAGTTACAGATGGCAGAAAAAATCCCATGGTTCATTCTATTTGAAATTTGGATAATGCCACACAAAAATGAGATGACAACATAAATATACATGAATACTAGCTCACTGAAAGTTATATAAAATTATATGTTTAAGCAGAGTAAAACAGCCCAACCCAAATTGGAATATACACAATTTGGTAATAAAAAAGTAATGCTACGAGAATGCTTAGCAATTAAAAAACATCATTAATACAAGTTCAGAGTGATTGTCACATGATTATAATTGGTAATAAATCTTCACTTACCTCCATAATTTAGGAGTCATGAAAAGATAAGTCAGCAGGCCAGCATGTAAGTTAGATGTAACTAGGACAGAAAAACAGAAAGAAATGTTCCGAGCTCTGGATAACTAAATTTGAGCTTGTGCATTCACTGAACTTGGATTAACCAAGTGGTTCAAGGATTAAAGTGAAATAGTCCAAAAGATCTTTACACATTCAGAAGATGTATTACCAGTGTTTGCAAAGGCTATTTGGAAACTCAGATTAACATTTTAGGCTTCCGTACATATCACTAACATGCAATATGGTAAAAACCATAAATATGTAGAGTAATATATTTTTTTGTGTAATGATCGGAGGCTTTATGACAAGTAAGTAGTTAAGTGTAAGTGAATAAACAGAAAGATACTTTGACTTGTAAACAGAAATCCTACAAAACAAGGTTTCACTTCTAGAAAACCAAAATATTTGTTTTCATTCCTTTCATTCACTTTTAAAAAGTGTTGCTTTGGTCACTTTAAAAAAAACTTCTACAATTTAAGCAGCATCATAATTCAAACAGTGTTGAATTTCGATTTGTTTGTTTGTTTTTGGCTAATAGTTTTCTTCAAAAGCAAAACCAATTAGCAAAAAAATTTCAGACCTTAGAACCTTCACTTCCTCTTAAGTGTGTTTCTCCATCAAAAACAAGTAGTCAAACAAGGAATCTCAATTACCTAAATCTATTTTTGGCCATCTTCCGGAATTTTTTGTTAAATCTCCTTTGAAATGCCACAGTTGCACTCTTGGAAAACTTGTCTTCCTGGTTTTCAGATTTCTGTTTATTATTACAGCTCTTCAGCCAGAATGCCAGGTCTTTGTGCTGTACTGTTTCTTGCAAATGGAGACCAGCACACTTCCCCCAATTCAATTACTTGCCTTTCCATTTGAGAAATTAAAGCCATGTCAATTTTATGGTTTTAACTTGGATTTTAACTTTGGGATTTTAAATTCTCAATTCCATTCCCTCAGTTTAATACTGGGAAAGACTTTTGTTTTATTAAAAGAGAAGATAAGGTATAAGAGTATTAACACATTTCAGTCACTGACCCTCATCATAAAAAACAAGTAGTTTTCTTACAGGCTTAAGATGGAGATATGACATTCTAAGCAAAAAAGGGAGAGTTTCAAAATTCAGTTTTGGCAATATTTAAGATTATATTTCAATCAGTTTATTTCCATAAATGTGTTTACTTTTTTTAAAAGGCAAGCACCCGTTGTCCTAAATAGATTGAGTCAGCATGTCTACCCTTATCAACTTTATGTGAATAACTGCCACTTTTACCTCTACAGATTGACCTTCTTTTTTTTTTTTTTGACAGGCAGAGTGGATAGTGAGAGAGACAGAGAGAAAGGTCTTCCTTTTGCCATTGGTTCACCCTCCAATGGCCGCCGCGGCCAGCGCGCTGCAGCCGGCACACCACGCTGATCCGATGGCAGGAGCCAGGAGCTTCTTCTGGTCTCCCATGGGGTGCAGGGCCCAAGCACCTGGGCCATCCTCCACTGCACTCCCGGGCCACAGCAGAGAGCTGGCCTGGAAGAGGGGCAACCGGGACAGAATCTGGTGCCCTGACCGGGACTAGAACCTGGTGTGCCGGCGCCGCTAGGCAGAGGATTAGCCTATTGAGCCACGTCGCCAGCCCTTAGCTGTATTTTATTCAGTGACATCACCATTGTCTTCTAATGTAAAAAACCATTTTTTACAGCTTTTATCTAGTCTATCATATTCTATATTGCTTTTCTTTGAAAAATGTGTTCTTTTACCTCCACTTTCATTGCACTATTCTGTTCAAGTGTTTTTTTTTTTTTTTAAGATATATTATCTTTTTTATTGGACAGAGTTAAGACAGTGAGAAAGAGAGAGACAGAGAGAAAGGTCTTCCTTCTGATGGTTCACTCCTCAAATGGCCGCCACGGCCGGCGCTGTGCCGATCCGAAGCCAGGAGCCACGTGCCTCCTCCTGGTCTCCCATGTGGGTGCAGGGGCCCAAGTACTTGGGCCATCCTCCACTGCCCTCCCAGGGCACAGCAGAGAGCTGGACTGGAAGAGGACCAACCGGAACTAGAGCCTGGCGCCCATATGGGATGCCGGCGCCCCAGGCAGAGGATTAACCAAGTGAGCCACGCCGATGGCCCCTCAAGTTTTCTTTACAAGTATATTACTATAATATTCACATTCCCAGTTTCTTTGCCGCCAGATTTTATTTCTTAGAAATCTCTCTCTATAGTTTTGCTACATTTTTAACTTTCAAAAAAGTCAACTTCCATTATTTCAAGAGATTATAATGTCTCCCTTCTTGCTGTATAAAGATTTATCCTTCAATTGGTTTTCCTGGCAAAAGCACAGTAACAGTTCTAACCTAGTTATCCAAATTTATGTAACCTTTGCCTCAGGTCCAATGGCACAAATCCCAGGTTACTTTTTGGGGAACACTGCATTCTATTTTGGCTTAAATTCTTACCTACTCGCCAGGAAAGTCTACTATTTGACAACTATATGCACCTTAATTTATAAGCATGCAGGCCACAATTAGAAAATTGTCAGCAAAAACAAATGTCCAATAACCTTGTAAATTCCCAAAGTTACAGTTTAGTGTTGAAGGAATCATTTCACGGGCATTTATTTCCCTCTACTGAACTGAGCCGCTATCATGCTCTCTGTTCTGTACTATCTGTTTTCCGCTTCCAGCCTCAATCCCTTCTCCACATGGTCTCAGTACTTGTTTAGTCAGTTCTCACCTTTTCTAAGGGGAACAGCAATGGTGCCAAAATTCATACCTGGAAAACAGGTCATAAAACAAATTAAGGGAAGCTGCTTTGAAATAGTAACCATTATCTAACTGCTGAATTCCTGAATTTTGCTTAAAAGGCAAATGTAAGAAATGTCAATCATCCTCAAAGCCAAACTAAAACCAACAGACTTCATAAAATATTCTTTATACACCAAGAGAAAAACAGATATAAATTTCCAATGGGTTTAAATTAAAAACTCTAAGGTTATATAAAAACGAATTCTTACCCAACACAAACATGATTTAAAACAAATGTCCTAGCAGTAAATAAAATGCTATGTATTTCACCCTCAATTTTGCCCTTTTATATTTCTGAAAATTTTTTTTGTGTGACTTGGTTAGTCTTATAAAAGTTTCTTAAGATGGTAGAGGGCATTTGGCACAGGGATTAAGATACTGCTTAAAAGGCCTACATCCCATATCCAAGTGCCTGAGTTCAAGTGCTGGCTCCACTCCTGATTCCAACTTCCTGCCAATGTACACCCTGGGGAGAAGCAAGTGATGGCTCAAGTATTTGGGTCTCCATCACCTATATGGAAGTCCCAGACTGAGTTCCAAGGTCTTAGCTTTGGCCTGGCCCAGCCATGGATATTGCAGGCATTTGGGGAGTGGACCAGCAAATGGAGGATCTATGTCTGTCTCTCTTTCAAATAAAACAAAAACTACGGTAACATTGTCCAAGAAAATTTGAGAAAGTATTTTAATATAGTGGCTCTAATTAAGTACAGGCTTTCAGAAGCACTCCATTAATTTCAGAGACACATATTAAAGAAAATAAAAAAAATATAAAAGCAGATACTCAAAACTTTTGTTTCTGCAATAATGCTAATGTGGTGTTTCCTGAAAAAAAATTTTTGTTATGGAGCCGGCACTGTGGCATAGTAGGCTATGGGGCCAGCATCCCATATGGTCGCTGGTTTAAGTCCCAGCTACCCCACTTCTGATCCAGCTCTGTTGGTGTGTCTGGGAAAGCAGCAAAGGATGGGGTCCTTGAATCCATGTGGGAGACCTGGAAGAAGTTCTTGGCTTCACACCCTGTTCAGCTCTGGCTGTTGCAGCCATTTAGGGAGTGAGCTAGGGGATGGAAGATCTCTGTGTCTCTAACTCTGCCTTTCAAATAAATAAACCTTAAAGAAAAATTTTGAACCAGACATATTTACTGATTTTGAAAAAAATATTCTGTTAAATTGAGAAGCAGAAAGAAATGAAAAGAGTTGCCACCTGCTGATTTACTCCCCAAATGCCTGCAATGGCCAAATCGGGCTGAGAGCATGGGTATCAATACAGGTCTCCCTTGTGAGTGGCAGGAACCTCAGTCACCCAAGCTATCACTTCTACCTCCCAGGGTCTGCAATAGTATAAAGCTGGAGTCAGGAGCAGACCCTGGTATGGAACTCAGGTATTATATGGGATGCAAGCCAACTCAGTTGCTAGGCCTAACAACCTGCCCCATGAAACATGTTAACAGTTGTTACATTTGATAGTACTTCACATTTTATTGTTAGATTTAGAATCATCAGATTACTAATGGCCCTCAAAAAGGGATCACAAGCCTGATTGTTCACAGCTCTACCCACAACATTCTGGCTTAGGTCGGAAAAATTACTTTTATGGTAGCTAAGGCATGAATGTTTATGGGTAGCACTGAATTACAGGAGAACTGAAAAGTGAAGAATGAACCTAGGATTTTTATATCCAGCTGGCATTCAGCCTTTCAGTTATGTTATTTTGCCATAAAGATATTACTGCTGATTTCCAATAAGCATCCATTATATTTAAGACTATGCTAGGCTTGCAAAGTGTACACATAAAGAATAAGAGGGTCCCTTCCCACTGTTTCAAGTTAGGTATGAAAGTTCATCAGATATGGCATTTGTGCTTGAGGACAACAAATGAACAGGGACAATTTCATGTAGGGGGAAGATACCTAAGGCCTCATTTCCTTTGAGCTGCTACAATACTTCTAGATGGAAAGGCAGTTTGCTTTCTATTATGCTCTGTTGGATTCTTGTATGTTGGTGTAATATTGCCATTTAGGCTAAAAGTTCTTTGTTGGCAGGGACTATCTTTTATGACTATATGGAACTGCTTGGTGCAGCATATGTACTTCATAATAAAGATTCTTTTTCACCTGAAAAATGCCAACTTAAACTCTTAAGGCATTTGAATAATTTCTTTTGATGAAGTGAAACTATATTCATAATCACTTATGGACTAAAAAAACTCAAATTCTCACACCCATGGACCATCATTTTTATTAAAATTTATTTACCTAAGAACAAAATTGCCCTACTCTATCGCTTATACACACCACAGTCATGATCAAAATCAGTAGCCACTTTTGATAATTCAATCCCCTCTCACTCAGATGATTTTTGGCAGTAGATTTACAAGTACATGGCTTGCTATATTATAACTGAAGAGGTTTGTAATTTGAATCCTTTAGGGTGTACAAATAATCAGTGAAATCATGAATACATCATCATCCAGTATGGAATAAAGTCAAATTTTGCTTAAATGTTAGAATTCTTTACAGTGAATCCTAAGTTAACTTGAATTACTCACTTGCACTCTACTGATTAAAAAAGTCAGTCTTAGAAAAATTAAAATCAAATGCCCTGGAGTTACAAGGGGCATAAAACATATTCATCAAAATTCTTAAAACTTCTATACCTATTTAGTATAATACTCATAAAAATTAATGATTTTCTGCATACTATGTTTATTAAGGTATGAAAATATGCTGAAATAATTTTTTAAGAAAATATTCAAATAAGGTTTAAGATTGTAAACTTCAGATAACTAAATTATACAGCACTCCAGATTTTCCCATTATCTTAAAATATTTTGTCTGATAATGCTTTTAAAATTTCATTTATCATTACTTTTTCATTTATAGTGCCTCTCCTACAATTTCCAGTGGTGGTAGTTTTTCTTTTGGTTAACCATTACCTTGTACAGTTAGGGTGTCAATATGACAAAGGATAAGGGAAACAAATATAACATTTTTTTCTACAGTGGAAAAGTTAAACATAATTTAATTCTCCACATAAATCTACAACATTATTTAACTTTTCCATTCTGTTTTTGCAAGTAATGTCAGTGTACATCACATTTGTAAAGTGGATACATTGGGGGCTGACTCTCTTCAAGGATCATAACAATTTGGAACAAAACAGAGCCAAGTTCAATCTCTTGAAATTTAAAGGCTTGGAGAGAGACAGCAACTTGCCTGCTTGAGGCTTTACGACTAGCTAAAGCAGAACCAGTTTTCAAGTATTTGAACCTGACCATACTTAAACTCTCTGCGACAGGAACAGTTTAAGATTCTGTATACATTGTCATCTCTTTGGCAAAGTTACAAAGCTATCTAAAACATTTTTGGCGCAATATTCACACACAAAAAAAAACTTTTATGAGGGCTGGCAGTGTCGCTCAATTGGCTAAGCTGCCACTTGCAATATCAGTATCCCATAACAGACCACCTGTTCAAGTCCCGACTTGTAAGCTTCTGATCCAGCTCCCTTGGAACCTGTAGCCCTTGTAGGAGACCCAGATGGAGTTTTGGGCTTCTGGTTTTGGCTTGGACCAGCGTGACCTTTGTGGCCATTTGGGGAGTGAACCAATGAATGGAAGCTCTCTTGCCCTGTCCCTGGCCTTTCAAACAAAGAAATAAATCTTTACCAAAAAAAAAAAAAAAAAAAAAAAAAGAATTTAATTATACAATATAACTTCTGCTTTATTTCATGGTTTTCCAAACCAGCAGGAAAGTTTTAGCTTCCTACACATGTTCAATTGATGTTTTAATAAATTCATCCTGTGACACTGAAATGTTACAGAGCAACTGCCTCAGAACAAAGTGACTTGTTAGAATGAGCAGCTGTACACATTAATGAGTAAGAACTAAGTATGGGGATTACATTGTCTAAGACTTTAAAAAATGAGAACATAGCAGTAGAAAATGATTTAGATTCTCATGTTTAGAATCATCAAATCAATGTAATACAGATTTTCACTTTTAAATTTTAGTATATATTTCATCTTGCATGATTCTTACTCATTTATGAATTCTTTGATGAATTTTAAATATCTTTAAACATACCAATTACAAGTAATGTTTCCAGTACAGGAGTAAGTAACAATTAAATTAACAGTAGAGAAAAATTTAATTAACAATTTATTTTACTAATTTAATAAGAACTTTATCTTTTCAACTGGGAAATTGAGTATAAAAATACAGAATATTAAAAATAAACATTGTGAAAACAGAAGGCTCTAAAATGGTAAAATTGCTAATAGTGGAATTTAGAAAAACTCTGACTTACCTTTCGAAACCAATTAGACAAAACAGATCTAAATCATTCAATACTACTCAAAATAGATACTGGATACTTATGTATCACAAGCTTTCAGAAAGTTTAACATCACTTTTTTTATGCAGTAAAACTTAAAATATATTACATACCATAACTGTAAAATCATGCATTCTGTAGACAAATAAATGAACATGATGAAAATGTAAACATAACAAACTTAGCTTAAAGTAAAAGAAATTCACAACTACTCAAAGATGTCCCATAACTAATAATTATGCAGGATTGAAGATGAAGTTAGATTTTTTCATTAGCCAGTCTCAGGCCTTGTTTTCAACTCTTTGGATAAATTCTATTGAGAAATTATCTACCTCAAGTTAGAGGTTGGCACTGGCCATGCATTGTATGAGAACTGATGTCAAGTTCAAATCTTATTCTAATACAACAGTGTCTTAGGGCTTTTTGCTTACATAAAAAAGAGGAGGGTAGAGTCTTAACTGGCAATGAGAAGCTAATTTTAGAAAATTGCTTAAAAACAAAAATTATCTTAGTAGCCAAACATGTCAGGAAAATTATAAAGGAATATACATTAACTTAAAAATACCCAAATATTTTACTGACACCTAGGGCATGCCTATTTTGAGAGGAATCAATTATTAAGAGCAACAAAGGC